CTCGAGAGAATAAGCCCATGAGCTGCATGAAGACGCTCAAGCGCATCAGGGTGACATGATGCCAAGAGTTCGAGACGTACTCCCCTGCCTCCCCTGCACACAAAATGATCAGCCACGTGCAGTTCATCTGGCATGTTAAAGGTCGCACCTCTGCCGAATTTGGTGCTCGTGTTCTGGCCAGCCTTGCTGAATATAGTGCTTTGCGATTTGAAGCAATGGGTCGGTAGCAGTCTCGTCCCTTATCTTGTGGAACTTTGTCGTCGATACTATTTCCGATGGGGTGGTAAGTTGTTCGTGTACATGTCGTTCCTAAGAGTGATAGCAGCTGGTGGAAAAATGCGGATTCGAATTGACGTCCCCGGTTGGTTGTGATTGTAGATGCAACTCCGAGTTCATATATCTATTGTTGGATGAAGGTGCGAGCCACTGTGTACGCTCGGACATTTTGAATGGGAAGCGCACCTTGCCAACGGGTAAACCTGCCGACGCAGGTGATGAGGTAGCTATACCCCGCGGGTCCCACAATGTTGATGTGAACATGATCAAAGCGCTCTGTCGTGTGTGGTAATGAATGGAATTGTGCTGAAATATGCCTTTCTACCCTCGATTTTTGTCATTGCGTTGAGTTTCTAGTCCAGCGGCGAATATCCTTATTAATGCCGGGCCAGAACAATCGTTCGATAATTAGTTGCAGAACCCAGCTTGTGAAGAAGACGAAGTGAAAATTAAAACTAGGTGAACACAAATTTCTCCTCCCTCCCCTTCACTTTGGAAAATAAGAATGAAACATTCAGCATAGTTAATAGAAGAGAACGGAGAATAGAACATTTCAAGAAAATTAGAAACTAAGCCGGATCACTATACAGTACGAAGCGCATGTGAACACCAACAATTACACATATATACAACTGATAATTGTTTCGATTTACAATGCTAAATTCATTACGTAGAAACAAAAAAATTCGAAATCATCGCTCAAGTTAACACGACTTATTTTAGGACTTATTTACAGCTCATTCATTCCAATCCTACAAGTTTAGTTATTCCTGTCCATGACCACAGACGTTAGCACTTACTACATGTACTCATTTTTACCCACTCACACCACGGCCGGACTGGAAGCGCGCGCTCTCTTCCTCTTCTTACCGCCTTTGCAATTGGGGCAATCGCCACCTCCCGGCGCAGTTCGCGGGTGGCGCTGTCACCTCACCCCTGGGCTACCCTTCGCCGTTTGCACAGAGCGCGTCTGACAGTCTACCACAGCGCTGTCGCAACTCGCGGCCGAGATTTTTATGGCCTTTGACACCTGATCGTTACGCTTGGACCCTCAGCCACTATCTAATGCGCTTCTGATGAGCACAAAACGGTAGATATTTGACGCACATCTCCGAGATATTCGGGAGTAGAAAGTAGTAAGGAGAGACAGCGAACGCAATTGCGGAAAAACTATACTCGACTTTACCTCCAGGACTTCTGTTGCAACTCAAGAACAGGAGGAGACGGACCCCTTTTACGTGGAGGAACTTTAAATGTTAAATAATTCGTACACCCGTGAAATGTAAGCAGTCCCAATCTATCTATTGCCGCGGTCTGCATCATCACTTAATACGACGCACATGAAGTCGGTCAGCTGCTTTAGACGAGGGTGTAGTAGTCTGTATAATTTTCGCACAGTGCATATTACAGCCTAAAGTGCTTCCTCGAGGGCTTGTGCACATATTCAGCTGATTTTTTGTTTCTGTCCAAGACCGTCTTTGCATGGTTAATCAGAAGTATTCTGAGGAACCGTTGCCAAAACAAGAGCCCACGAAGCTCGAAAACCAGCGCAAAGCAGCTCGAAGGGACTCTCCGAGTGGGGTGAAGTGGGGTGAGGTGGTTGCGCCCCTGGCGGCAAGCAAGTAAACTACATACGGAGAAAAAATGCCATTGACTCCCGGGCGATTGCAAAGGCCGTAAGAAGAGAAAGAGAGCGCGCGCTTCCAGTCGGGCCGTGCTCACACATAAACGTTTTAAGAGATAAACTCTGATAGTTACGTTATGTATTCAAAGTTCTACTGAAGCGCTGAGGTGATCGCCAGTTGCGCTGAGACTGTCGCAGACCTGAGGATTGGGGCGGTGCTGCTGTTGTATTTTGCTCCGCTGTCCCTCGTCTCAACCGTGGTGTCAGAACATCAGCTTTTGACCGCCAGTCATGATGACTGCACATCGCCCTTTCTTTGTCGCTGGTAGCGTAGTCTAACAACCGGGCGATGACTACTTCCGTCCGCCATTTTGTGTCTCTAACTCGCAGGAACTCTATGCGATTTTATTGAACCATTTCTTTGGTTCAATAAACGTTGAACCAAACAGCGCCCGTGTTTGTCTTCTATCTTGTGTACGTCCTTTTTTAACGCTTTTAACCGTGGTTCAATACAGTCAACACCAACTAGCCCAACAAGTTCTTTTACAGTCTATGCGATTTCTCAGGAATAAAAAATACAAAGTAATGCCTTTTTGTGTTATCGCACAGTTCGCTGGTTGTAGCGGGCAACAAGCTCTGCCCATTGGCTGCTTGAGTCCATAGCCGTATATTGGGAGAGTTTAACCAGTTCACAGGCATGCGTGAGCGCATGCCCGTGAACTTTCGGATGCTCCTCGCTGTGCCGGGAGGGCCCCCATTTTCATTAATTCGCCCGGTGGAATGCATGGGATCGACATCCGAATTTCGCGTCTTTTCTTTTATTTCGCTGGCTCTGGCACGAAAATTATAGTGTTATTCCTTGGTCGGTTAAAACTAACAAATGAAGTTTTTTCGACGTTTCACGGAAAAGCTTTATTCAGGCGAAAAAGAAGTCGGCCCGTTGCAGACGACGCGTAGCCTTAAAGGGACAATGAAGAAAATTTTTTTTTAGAGCGCAGCTCTTAGGGGTTCGTTTCCAGCCTGAGCGGCGTCGGCGTCGGCGTAACCGGGGGGGGGGGTCACGTGACCTCCCCCCGAGGTCACGTGACCCCCCCCCCCCCCCCCCCGAGATCATGTGACCCCCCCTCCCCCGAGGTGAAGTGACCCCCCCCCCCCCCCGAGGTCACGTGACTACCCGCAGGTGACGTGACCCCCCTCAGTGCCCTTCCCTACTCCTCCTCAAGAGCTGCGCTCCAATTCGGCGTTACAGGGATTTGTAAACGGCTTTCATTTTTTATATGGTGTTTATAGGCTTCTTGGGAACCTAGCACGCTGCCTAATTTTTTGCAGAGATTTGTGACGCGTATTTCTGTGCCTACGAAGAAAGTACGAAGAAAGGCCTCCAAAAACGGAGGTGACGTAGGCAGTGACGTCAAGTGTGAATAGTCGGTATCGGTAGTATTTAGGAGATCGAGACTCTGGTTACTACGGTGGGTTTAGCAGAGCAGTGGCGCGGTCGTTTCGTCGAATCTTTCAACACGGACGACAATGGGACAATGCCGCTCTCGCGAGCAAGTTCGAGCTTTTGTTCAGTGACCTGACACCAACGGAACGGGAGTACGTGTATGGCGGCCTCCGCCATCACCCGACAGAGACCGCCCAGCCGGCAACGAGCGGCTTGCTGGCTCCAAAGCAGTATGCAACATTCGCGCGGGCGAGAAGAGAGCGGCGCGTTGCCGAAGGACAGGCACGCGGGGGAGATGCCAGGGGGAAAGCGGCAGCGACTAAGCCGTTCCGGGAACCGGTTCCTCCGCGGGGAGCGCTCCCCAAGCAGGAGAAAATAAACAGCGCCATTTTTGGTTTTCACCAAAGTCGGACATCCTCTTTTCGTCGTCAAAGAACACGAACAGCAACCCACACGTGAAAACTAGCGTCGCCCAAACGAATATTGGTCTTCAGTCAACCGTTAAAATAGCCATCTACAGCGCACAAATTTGGCATGCCTACCATTTTGCAGAATCCTTTGAGTACCGTCTTCCGAAAGTAAACACGCCACCGACATCCGAGACAAAATCCAAACGCCTCCCGCGTGTTTTTTTTTTTTTTTCATTTTATTGTGTTTGCCTATAGTTGCTCGTTGCCCGTTTTGCGTCCAGCGTAGCAAAGAGAAAAACAATTATGATGTTTTATTTACGGTTTAGTAATCATTTTTGGTCCGATTTACACTTTTCATGTTTATTCGAGCGGAAATTAAAAACAGTGTTCCCAAAAATCGCGAACCAAAATGTGACCGAGGGCACGTCACTCGTTTCGACCAATCGCTGACGCGTCTCTTGTGACGTCGCGCTTCTTGCATCGGTCACGTGAGCTCCGCTTCTCCCGGCTTCTCCCGCAACTCCCGGGGCGTCGCCCCAGTCGATCCCGGCACGATTATTACCGCGACTGTTTCATTGATTTGCGCGGCACACAAGCGCCGGTTTCAGCTGAAAATCGGGCAACGTGGTCAGAGACGTGCCTGGAACCAAGTTCAGTCTCCAAAAAAATATCCGAAATAGCCTTCATTGTCCCTACAGTGCTCTGCACCGATAGCGTGTTGCGTCGAATTGACGATTGTTCCCTCCTTTGCTCTCTCTTTCCTCTCTCGCTCCTTTTGTGCTCTCCCCCTTTCCTTCACTATTCTCCCCTCCAGCCTCTTCGTCGCCATGCCTACTGGCCCGTCTCTCCCTATATACGGCTGTGGTCGAATCATTACAGACCCCAAGAGGTTTTAAGGCACTCGGTCGTAACCAATCGCAAGTGTGTGAACTAGCCTTTACAGGCACCACTATGCTTCAAGTCACACGAAAGAGAGCGAACGAGATTAGATTTACTCCGAATTCAGGAAGCGGTAGCTCCAAATTAAATAGCAAAGCAAAACTGGGGTATATTTATACTACAGATAGAGGCACTTGAGTTACTAATACAGCGAAGCTCTTTCGTAAAACGCGAACACAGGCTGTTGCAAAAAAATAAGGTATAGGAAAGCGGAGGGTACATACTTTATGAGACCTGTCATGCTCGTTCCCTGCGTGAATAGGGCAGTTCATTTGTTATAAAGAAAAGAAGGGCCGCGCCCACTCACACTTGGTGCACGAGTCCGTCCTCGCTGAGCCCGTGGTAGGCCACCTTGCGCACTTTGGCGTTGCTGAAGCTCCGGTCGTGGTACTTGTACGTGGTCGTCACCCAGCCGCAGTAAACGTGACTAGGGTCCTGCCCGGGGAAGACGCGCAGTCCGTAGAAGTACTCGTCCACAAGGTCAAGTACGCTGGGGTCCAGCCGGTCCCCGGTGTCGTCCGCGGGAGGCGGGGCCGGGGCCAAGGAGGGGCGTCGAGAGCTGCCGGTGCGCGGGATTCCGCCCCCGCCCAGGCCGCTGGGTCGGTCCGGCACCGGAGGACACAGCAGCTGGCTGCCGGCTGCGAGAACGCGTGCCGCGTGCCTCAGGGGCCGGAATCGCGCACGAGATATTCGTAGTGTACAAGGTTGAGCGTGTTTCTCATTAACGACAACAAAAGAGGAACATTGAAGACGAACAGACAACAGGACACGACAGAGAACCTGTTTGTCTTTAATGCCCCTCTTTCGTTATCGTAAATGAGGTATTCTTATTTTTGAACGTCCAAGCAGACAAATCCAGGATGACAATGGTGTCTCTTTTGAGCGCCCGGCCTTCATTCCACGCTCGTTGCCTTCTGCCATCCATTGGCTGCGCCTGTAGACGCTGGAGTCTCGCGAGACGCTCAACTGGTGTCGGAATTAGGAAGCTCGTCCCGGAAGCGAGACAACTGAAGCTCCTCCCTTCGGTTTCCTTGCAGTCAGTAACTAGAGAAATAGGGACCGCGGCGAGCGATAGCAGCGTAGCGGTACATCATTTCTGTGAATCGCCGGTTCGGGAGGCATTAGTATGAACACAAGTGAGCAGCTATCTCGTGGGTACTCTCTCAAGCGAAGCAGATTGATTCGGCTGGCTCTGACGAGCTGCAGTGACCTGGGTCGTGCTCCCCCAAGTGCTTTCAATGCCCCATGTGGCTGACATTTTTGTCCACGACATCGCTCAGGGACGCTTCTTTCTCCCACCTTCCCCATAGACCTTGTTCAGATTTGCGCGCCATTTGTCCGAGATTGCGCCAACCTTCTTCCGTAGCCTCAAAAATGGCGACCCATTCGTGAGGTGACGGGCAGAGCTCTGCTATGGGAAAGTGATACCGCACTCTGCTGTGTCCCACAGCGCAATTGATACAAAAAGTAGGACCCAACTGAAGTAAATATACGGATTGCGTTGTTTTACTGTTTTAATCGGAAGATATAACGATGAATCTTGGCATAATTTGAGAGCTTTCCTTGTAAACGCTCTGTCCTGTCCAATTTTTTTTTTTTTTGCTTCCTTTGCTTTTTTTTGCACTGTCTTATCTCAATGTTGTTATGCTAAAACGTCCTAAATTTTCAGGGGCTTTTTTTTTGCACTGTCTTATCTCAATGTTGTTATGCTAAAACGTCCTAAATTTTCAGGGGCCCTAAATTTTCAGGGGGCCCCCTTCTCATCGTTATGAACTATTATCCCCGACTTGTCGCGACTGAATTCCAGGCCCACAGGTTCTTCTTCCTCTCCATATATGACAGACCCCGTAGCCTATCCCGGCTATAAGCTTACAGTACAATGTGGTATGCAAAGAACATTCCTGGTATAACAATTGGTTTACTTTTCCCCCTCTCTCCATACAGGACACGTCAAGGCATAAATATCACTCTCCTAATTTATTTTCCATTCCATTCAGGTATATCATAAAAAGTAGAGGTGATAGGGACAACCCTTCCTTAGTCCTCTTTTTATTTCTGCTGATTCTTTTATTTCTGCGTTACATGTTGTAAAACACTCATTATTTGTGCATACCTGTCGGAAAAGCCGAACCAAATGTGCACCTCAATCATACTCTCTCAGTTGTACCCAGAGTCTTGCCTGACTCACATTGCCGTACGCCGCTTTAATGTCTACAAATGCTATCGGAGTCAACAGCCAAAGGCAACTGACTGTAAGTAGTTTCCAACTTTTTATTTCATTTTGTTAATTAATAACATCGATGAACAAAAATAAATAGTCTCTTAGCATGTTTTCAACTCGTTTGTATCATAGCGGCGGACGTACAGTTTAGTTTCTGTATCTTTTACAACTTTTTGTTTTATTCTCGTCGTTTTTGCTGTTCTCCTTTTTGTCCCCCTTTTCTGTTTTCTTAGAACAAAAGTTCTGTTAGATCCCAAACTTTGACTAAATGTTCCTTTCACCTACACGTCTTTATTATTATTGTAATTTTCTCGGGACTTCTTTCAGCCTTTACGTGAATTTGGCGTGAAATATTTTAAAAACAGACAAACCAAACGCTTCCAATGTATTGGCGCGCTGCAAAAAATCGGAGACGAATTTGCTGCCCTACGCTGTCCAGGGAACGTTCCGCGACCGAGTGTGTCGAACAACGCCGGTCAAGATAGACGTCGCATGGGAAATAAAAAAAAAAAATACTTAAATAAAGGCTCACGAAAACAAATGGCGGCGGTGTTTTGATCAATCGAACCCTTATAGGCAAAATTGGTATCTATGAGAGACGGTGGGTTTTCATGACTTTTTTTCTTGCTACGCTCCGATCAACGTTACTAGAGCCCTCAGTTGGGAAACTTCCATAGAGCTTCCTTTAAAGAAGTGGCTCCAATCCGTACTCGAGAACCGAGCTAATGGCGATCTCAACGTATCCATATCTCCCGCAGCGTCCACTCCGGGAACTGCACGCGTGCACGTCGAGCCGGGCAAGGGCCGGTCGCGCAATCTCGCAGGGCCATTTCGCAGTAGCTATGTAAAGCAACTTTCATGTTTCAACTTGTCGCTAAAGGGTGGCGCTGTTATCGTATTTAGCTCGGTCTCGGTGGACGCCAGCGGCCCAGGCTTCAAGGGTGTGTTTCCCAACTGAGGGTGTTTAGTATTGTTGGCTCCGATTAATCGCGCGACCTAACCGTGTCAGGTCAAAGTGTCAAGTAATGCCACGTCACGTGTGGCAACGTGACGCAGTGACCAACGACATGAAGTAGTGGAGACGTCGCGTCACTTGGCACGGCGTCACGTGACGTCATTATACCACGTCTTGACATTCAAGGTTACAATATTCAATAACGGTGTTCACACTGTTGCGTCAGGTGAAACCACGACTTCGCATAGTGAACCCCGTGTCCCCACGTCACGTGACATCGGGCAATGTGACATGCCACGCAACTATGGAGCAGTGTTGCCAACCTCCGCGGTCGTTTCTTCCCCAAATTGTATCGAAAAGTTCCCTATATCTTTGAAGATTTTCAGAAAATGTGTTAATTTGCGTCAATATCGAGATGATCGTTATAGAGTAGCTTAAGAACAGACTCCTGTAGTAGCGAGGCCATTTAAATGTTATATTTGCTTCATTCAAACCTTTTTACACAATTAAAGTTTGGTACTTTAACCTTGTGTGGCCCCCTTAAATCGCTGTTGTTACCACTGAAGATTATTTCTGGCCCCGACACTTTATAAGGAAACCTTTTTCGCGCTGCGCCGGCACGAGGAAGAAAAAGGGAAGGAACGTGTGTCTGAAACCCTCTGAAACCCATAAAATGTCAATCCATAGATTTGAACAGATTTCTCTTTGCCTCTAGACGATGACACAAATCCCTAGATCTAGGGGAAACTCCCTAAGGTTGGCAGCACTGCCACGGACCAACATGCAACCTGAGCTTGTTTTAGAATGTGACTGGTTCTAGAGTTAAAAATGAAGTTTCAACAGTATTGGGTGCGACCTTTGTTTCTAAAGTCACGTGATGTACTACTGCTTTTTTATTCGAGCAATTGAAATTTGGAACTCATTATTTGAAAATGTCCGAGTACCATCGCCCGGTGAATCACTGTACGCCGTTTACAGTGGTTGATGTTAATGTTTATACGTCTTATGTTGCGCGCCTTTTTTAACGTCGTATGCATGCGCGTGTTGTAATCTCCCCGTCTGCAATAGCCCCAAGTGGGCTGTAGTGTGTAATAATAAAATCAATAAAATGTACGGAGTGCACTATTGAAAAAGAGATTTTTTTTTTTAAATTTTGTTTACAACATAATAAAGTCGATGCGGGGAGTCTGAAAGAACCCAATTTTTATTAATTTTTTCCACTGAGTCCAGCTGGAAAATACGCACGAAGTGACGTCAAATGTTCCGCTAAATTTTGCGAGGAAATAAAATTGGTGTATAAACCACGCGACGTCCTTTTCCCGGCAAATTCTGAGCGGAAACTGAATAGGCGTATAGTTAAGACGTCAATTTAAGTCTACTTCACAGCTAACATTTGCGACGAAACAGATTAAGTGTTTAGGTAACGTGGCGTCAATTTTCCGGCTACAGTTAGTGGGGAAACTGAATTGGTCTCTACAGGTTGTTCGCGCCACTTCCAGCTGGCATAACAAGGGGAGAGAAATACTCGCAATTCTTCCGTGTTTACCTTGTATTTGGGTGGGGGTGCGACGACTCTCGGTTTCCTAGCGAGGCATTGTGGGAGCTACGCTCTAGCAATGCCCAAAGTCGTGCTTTTAAGTTGCCGGCACGAACAAAATGTCACGGGCTAAGTTATTTCGATTCCCTCGAGACGAGGAACGCCACCGCCGAGTCTGGGTGATAGCAGGATTACCGCATTGGCAGACGGTGCTAGCCTACTTTGACGTGCTGCCGACAGATGGCGCAACGCGACAAACGCGAGAATGCGGCGCCGGTGCCGCCGCGCCTTGCCCGATCATCTCCGTACAACGATGGGCCATTATGGCACGTACGAACGCAATGTGCATAATGCTCTGGGAAAACAACCCTTGAATACCAAAGCAAGCAAGTCAAAACACTAGAAAACTCTGCATTACAGAGACTGGCGTCGTGCCAAAAGACGCGTAATAAGAACGTTCGAAAGATTGTCTGCTAAAGCCGAGACCCGGTTCGGCGGATCCTGCGGGTAAGCTCGGCGCGTATCTTCGGTGCCTGGGGGACGTAGCTGCCCATCGCCCATGCCTTGCCGTTCCGGAAGTAGTGGAACGTGTTTCGGGATTTGTAGGTTCTAAGTCGTTCTCGGGTATGGGGACAAGGCGAATCGAATAGGTACTCCTGAAAATGGGCCCACGATACCTTCAGCAGATTTGTCGTTTCTTTGAGGAACAAGCGCTTTTTCATCTCACGCAAAGGATCATGAAGGCATTTCGATCCCGTATAAGCATATTCCCGCAGGTGCCGCAATTAGTCTTTGGTTGTGAGACTTTTAACGTATGCGCTACTGACTGAGAGTCCTCAGAAACAAGGAAAAACAATAGCCAACCCGAAGTAACATACTTCGCCGTTATTTGTTTTTGTCCCAGGACGTCAAGATATGCGACGTGAATTTCCCCGCTAAAATTAGCGGAGAAATGCACGGTCCAACGGACTGATTCCTGCGACTAGCCGTGTTCCTATAGAAATCTTTCAATATTTTAATATAGGCCGCACCTCCCACATACCTGGTGTGAGTCGCTGCACGGACGGGGCTCGCACCGTGAGCATGGGCGGCGCGAGTGTGGCCGGCGTGGGCGCCTTGGGGGCGGCGGGGGCGGGCTGGGCTGGCGCAGGCTCCTTCTCCTCCTTCTCGTCCTTCTTGCTCCGAAAGAAGCGGAAGGGAGACTTGCCCCGGCGCTTGGCTTTGCCTGCGGGCGTGAATGGATGGACGAATAAGTCGGAACCCTTCTATTCGGGCGGTGGATTGCGGCACCAAGCAGGACGTATTGAAAACCGACCGTCACTCTTCCTTGCGTCACTGCGCAGCACTACGAACTTTTAAAGGGACCGTAGAAATGTTTCTCACTTTACTCAGTTTACTGGAACCAGTGAGACCCAAGAATACGAAAACGCAACGGCACTGACCAAGAAGCGTCTTCGTCGCGGCGGAATTCCAAGCATAAAAGCGGACGTTTTCTTTCAATCTCTCCTTCGCGAAATGTGTTGACGCAGGTGCGGAGACAAGGCCAACGATGCGATCACCGGGACCTCGTCATCAAGTTTTGCAATCCCTGTTGTGACGATATTTGAATTCGGCTCACACAGTGGACACGAGCGCTGCGTAGCATTCGATTTTGGCTCGTGACGATCAATGCATCGCCATGAATTCGGAAAGTGGCTAGTGCCCAGTCGCTGGCATGACGGCTGAAACTAAATAATGCGTGAAACTCATGGCGCCCTGTGCTTTGTCAACCCCAGCGCGTGGCTACGTTAAAAACATTGGCGGCATATAATCGGCTCTTGATGACGTGCCGCTTGTTCTGGCTGCGACTCGAGGGGTTAAGCGCGGCGTTCGTCTTTCTACGATTTTTTGCTGCGACCGCCACTCCGTGAAGGAAAACACAACGCGTATTCTATGGTTATAAACGTCAAATCATAATTCTAAGCTGTATCTATTGAAAGTACGAATATTGTTGCACCGCCCTATCTAGGAGAAACTGAACTCCAAAGAAAGCATTCCTTTTTAAGTGTCTAGATACATGAATGTAACAAAATAAATGCCTAAAGGGTGCTCTACCGCATCTTTCCAAACGAGTTCAGTGCCGTGCCCGCTTTTTTTGACTGAAGAATGGCCTCATAGTAACAACAGCGCAAAGACAACAACGACAGACGCAGAGGAAACACACCCAAAGTTACACAGCGCTGACTAACAACTCAATTGTATTTTCGGGGTTCTTCTGCGCTAGGAACGAGGGTTAAAAAAAACTGCTTCGTATTATTCGTCTTCGCGAGAGGCGCAACAATAATTTCTGTATCTCACAGGCGACTCATCTCACTATGTGCTAAACATTTTAGCTCTTTGTTTGACAACGCCAAGGATGAGGCACTGACATATACATCCTTAAACCGTGCGCTCCTTTCTGCCTCAATAATCTCCATTCTTCTGGCTACTTCTACCTATGCACTTTGTTTCACAAAGGCGCTGCCATTTTGAATGCCGTAAGTTCTGCTATGCGGTAAAACATTATTTTGTTCTCTACACACTGCTGGAAGGTGTTTTTAAAAATACGCGATTGTCACATATTCTTGTCTTATCTCACCTATATTTTCTTGCAAATTCCAAGTTGAAATGTTTAATTATTTTTTCGTGCCGCATACCAGATACAGAACGCGCGTGACTAAAAAGGACAAGAAACCAAGAACGTCTATAACAGAACACCGCGTAAAGTCAGTCTCACACCAGCAATCACGGGAGTGTAGACCAAAATATCCGGATATCATTTTGTGGGGGTATGATAGTAATATTCTCTTAACCTTTTGTTCACGCACCGCCGTTTTTCCTATATATTGCTTGTTGAACGAAAGATAATAGAATAAAATTCAGTATCTGTGCAAGAACCCAACATATTGTGTTTTTCGTTTTGTTTTGTGCAGCGTACTTGCTGGTTGTTATTTATATTACCTCTTTTAGACAGCTTGTTGGGGTCTGAAAAGACTACATTTACAATTTCTCGGTTCCTGACCTTCGTTAGCGAGTGGGAAACGTGAATGTAGGGCATGAATACCAGTCTTGTTTGTCTGTCCCTTGGCAATCTGTCAAAGTCAGCACCTCGCTTTATATTTTTCAGAATGTTTTCAGCCGTAGAAGTTAATAAAGATACGGGGTAATCTGACCTTCGAAACTGCATGTAACGGAATGCGACCAAGATTTTGTCCATGCGCTTTTAAAGCATAGATTGACTATGCTCCTCTTAACAAATTCTGAGTGTGCCTACTGGAAATGCACGATTGGCTTCTTATCCATAGGTTCCTAAACTCAACAGACATGATCATCTAACAGAAGGAGTCGGATGTCTAAGGATTTCTACGAACCTTCAAAGGGACGCTGACGAGCGATTTCTGGTTCGGAATGTAGCAACAATGATCAAAGCACCAGTTATCAGAATCCGACATGATGAAAAGTCGTCCACATAAGAAACACTTTGACCGCTCGGAAATCTTTTAGGCGATCATGAAGCAGCCTATCATGGTGCGCAAGGTAAATGCCGCTAAAAATTGGTGCCATGGATGATCCGATACAGACCCCTTGTTTTTCGAAGAAGATGTTGCTGTCCCAGGCGGTAAATGTGGATTTAAAGTACACTGTGAGTAACCCTATAAAACTGCTTTGAGAAACACCACAGACGTTCTGTAACGCCACTGCCCCGAAGGTCTGGATGCTCCTCCCATTCCACCCAGCGCACTTCAAATTAGTGGAGAGAGGCGTCGTGAGGACGCGTCTAAAAAATTCAATTACTAAATCTTGCACGCACACAATTCAAAACAGCTTCAATGGGCGAGTCGCAAGGTTTAAGTCCGCAAAATACCCTGATTCGTTATTGACGTCGGTGGCTGAAAGGCTCCTTAAAGAGATCAAGCAAGGTGATGGCGTGAATTGAAACTCTAGGAACAAACCAAGAAGATTGGTTGTAGTACCATGCATGCATAAGTTCTCTCATAGGCTTAAGAGGGCAGCGAATAAAGTTAAACTAAATGTAGTCTTTTCAGCCATAAAAAAAGCTGTACAACATGTCTAAAAAGGTAAATTCTGTAACAGACTAGTTAAGCTTGTTGGTGCATAATACTAGAAATGGTTAGCTATTTTCCTAAGTTCAGTTGGCCATTTCCAGGTAAATTCGACTTCAAATAACACCCGTAAGGGTCACCAAGAAGCACAGAACGAACTTCGTTCCCTGTGTATGAGGTGTAATTTTTTCTTCCCACTTTCTTGTGGGGGAGTGTACATAGCACAGAATGGTCGGTGTCTGAATGACCACCTTCGTGAGCATGCCAACAACGTCGTCAATGGCAACTCTGGGGATACTGTAGAACTGTGGGTGTTCGGCGCTTTTGAGCAACTGCGCTGTGCTGGAAAGAAGCCCCAATCAGCTCACCAGATTATCGAGGCAGCGAGTATCGAAGGAGGCATTCACAAGTGTGTCAGTAGGCCATATTTAATTTTCTCATGAAGGGAGCTTGAGTATTTGACCAAAATATCTCTTAGCTGTGACAATTTATCTCTTAGCAGTGACATTCAGCAGTCTTACCAGCTAAATTGAGAATGCATTCGCCGCATTGTTTTGACTACAGGCATTATTTCTGCCGTCAGACGAGTAACCAGCTATATAGCCTCTTATAGTTCGCACAATCTGCTATCCGGTATCAACAATAAGAAATTGTCCTATTTAATTTCGACTCAACAGTAAAAGAAAATATAGATTAAAATAGAAAAACATCGTGTTTATACGAATCAATGTTCATTTGTTTACGAAAGTCACATATAGTTTACTTAAATTGAAAGGTTGTCGCGAGGTGTTATAGGCCGCATAAAGTACCCGTGATTGGTACAACCTTGCTTCGCACTACTGAAAATTGAATCGTAGCTGTGCTTTTGAACTTGGGAATTAATTACAGCGCATAAATCGTGAAATTGGCCCCTCGTCGCCATATATAATGTGAAAAATATTTTACAAAATGCGTTTCACAATATATATATGACGACGACGCAACTGAACTAAAAAAATTAAATTTTAAAAATGCCGAAAGATCTTTAGCACGATCCATTTCAGTCCACTTTTCTATAGAAACACTGAGCGGCAATCACAATGCTTGCTTTCCTAACCATTATTGTTTACACTCAGCACCGCGACGCAGGCGAAGAATGGTGCAGGAAGTAGTGATCAAAATTGTTTACTCCAATTCATAAGCACCTTCGTATTCAGATCGAATGCGGTCTAAAATAGCGCATACACGAGTAAAATTATATTATACTGAATAAACCGGCATAGCTTGGCTATTGATGCTAGAAGTTCAGATTGGTCAAGTTGCTTGTTCGTGCTGGTCTACCTTGCAGCGGTACTAACTCAACGTTTCACTGTCACTCAAGGTTTCACACACACACACAGAACAAAACTCTCACACAGCGCTCACTAATAACTTTGTATTGCATAATTAATTTCTGCGTGTACTTCTACTTCAACGATAAACAATTTTCAAATAAAAAATACGGGAAATTAACATAAAAATGCAAAACTTTCTTTCAAACACCTAGACAAACTTACCGCTAAATAATCGATATATTTTTGTGACAATGTTATAGACGGTGTGCTAACATATTTGTCCTCCAGTCGTATAATTGTCTCGGCTTCGAGAATTTTCCTTGCTAGCTGGTTGACACTTTTGCCTAAGACGGTGCTGTTGTTGAAATGCGCCGAACGACCACGATCCTTTCAATGAATTTTTAAGTGGGCAGAATTGGCGTTAACGATCTTGTTGTTATGTTCACGAAGGAGGTCATTAATAAAACGGCTGGTTTGTCCTACGTATTGTCTTCAACAGGAAAGGGCAAATAAAGAGACGACCCCCTTAACGCACGCCACAAAGTTTGTTCTATGTTTCTTGAAGCAGCATATTGATCGATTTGAGGGTGTGGTCACGCAATTGCACAGCTTGGAAAGTTTTTTGGAGCTGAAAACAAGACATCAACATTCACTCTGTTCGGTGTTTCCTTAAGACCATGAGAACAACTGTGAATATGCGGGACGATGACTGGTCTTCTTGTCTTGTCACTGCGTGTTTGCTTGACACAGCTTCCTTGCTTCACTTCTTTAAGGACATTTTCAATTACTGACACCAATAGCAAAACAGAGTACCCTGCGGATATCAGTCTTACAACTTGCCCTTCGAAGCTCTTTGATACTGTATGTGAGCATGATCTTGTGATTCAGTTCTTAAGACATAACCACACTGTGCCTCTCTTGACGAGGTATGAGTGCGCGAAGTTGAAGGGGATGGGTTTTTCCCCCCTCTCGGTTCATAGAAGCAGCAGTCGTGGTGAGGTAGACAAGTCGGAGATCCAAGAATCTTAAGGATCCTTCCATTGGCAGCTCCAGAGTGATACCTAAGGGATTCATACAATATTTAAATATGGAGAGGATGTCGTCCACCATGGTTGGAAAACTGTTTTAATGGGTGGCTAGGAAAATAAAAAAAGGACGTCCGCGTACCAAACACTGGCGCTACTTTTGCGACATCTAACCTGTGGTGTAAAATCCTATCGAGGTGTGCGAGATAGATGTCACTGATTACAGGTGCAATGCACAATGCTATTGACAAAGTACCAGCTAGCTGTTTTGCACACTCCACTCTTTTTTGTAATTTGGTGCGTTCATCCCAAGCAGCAAAGGTAGATTTTAGATACACGGTTAGCAAGTCCAAAACCTTACTTTGGGGCATGCCTGACGCATTCTGAAAGGCAATAGCACCAAATGTGTTGGAGCTGTCTTCATTACTTGCTAAGAGACGGTATTGGAAGCCACAGTGCGTGACAAAGGCCATTCAGGGCGAAGTTTGAGGAAGCAGAATGTAGCTTTGTGAGTCCTTCGTTCAAACTAGCCCCCTCACGCACGCACACACAGAAATAAAAAAAAATAAAAAAAAATCCTGCTTAGGGTACCTACTCGCAGCCCGTAAGAGAACCAGAACCGAAGAATGCCTAAAGCGGATGCAAAATATAACAAAGGCAGTTAAAATATTTCCACATTTCCCCTACGTGGTCTTAGTGACAAGCAAGGTTTCGAGTTGAGAAGTGGTCGGGGCGATCTCTTCCGCTAATGGATACTACACGTGATCCGCTTCAAATCCTGGAGCTGCTGCTCTTTTGTATAACATGCGAGCTCATCCACATGTGAATAATAAAATGAGTGACGCAAACTTTGAACGACTACTCTTGCTCAAGCTTAACAAGATCTAGAACCCCCTCTGCTCCCTCCCTCACCCCCCATACACACACACACTGGCGAACGCCAAAAATCATTAAACGTCTTCAAACGAATTCTATGCTTGTGTCCGCATTGTGAAGGTGCAACGACCACGAAGAGGGAGCTAGTTTTTCTTCTTCAATACTTGTTCAAATGTGAAATATAGGTTGGAAGTAGTTCATTGTTATGAGCGCTAAAGATGTGTCTTCACACAATAAAGTAATCGGAAAAGTAACGATTACTTCTTTAAGTAATGTTCAATTACTTTTGCCGTCGAGTAATCAAGTAATCTAATTGAATAATTTTTAGCCAAGAGTAATAGTAATTGTAATCGATTACTTTTTTTTAGTAACGTGTACAAGACTGGGGGACACCCCAATGAATTTCCAGCCATTGCCATAACCACTCGGCAGCGACTGCGGGATGAGAAGGGGGCTCTGATATGTGGTAGTAACTCAAGAGCTGGAGATGTCATGGATGAAACGTTGCATGTAGCCGCTCAACGTCTATACAGGAGAGGGCTCTGCCGTCAAATGCGTATATAATCGCTTTAAACTTTGCATGCATTGTTTCAACTTTTATAGACGAGAGAGCGCTGCGGTCAAATGCTCAAATGCGTATGTAACCACATTCCATACCACCGATCCTCGTTCTGACATGGACCGCTGACTTAAGCGGTGAAGATGCGTTCCCACAGCTTCTAGCGGATCCAAGCTGATCCCTTAGAAGAACCACTGGCTCTGCACTTCACCGACCATAAAGCAGTAATAATGAAGTTGAAATGCAACCCAAAACTCGGCACTACAAATGAGAAATAAAAAAAAAATCAGAACCATCAGCACTACCTATGAACAATAAAATCAGTACCATCAGCACCACCAGTGCTTCGCCCCAATCAACATCATTCACCACGTGGAGATGCGGTCCTTTTTTTCTATTCACTGGATTATTTTTTCGCAGCAATATTGCCCCGGAATACATTATCAGTGACCAAGGCACTCCTTTTCTCTCCAATGTGCTTAAAGATGTCGTGCGCCTTACTTCCACAGTATGCGTTCCAGGCATACGTACGCAGGCAAGATTATCTTCAGAGAAGACGCTCATCAGCTCGCTTGTGTCCTCAAATTCACAGCAGCATCAAGAATTGCGTTACAACGACCGTCGCCCACCACTGCTTGTATAACAAGAATGTTTATTTTAATATGTAGAAAAGAAGGTGGAGTGGAAGGAAAAAAGCTTCAATACGAAGCTTGACGATCCCTGAGCCCCATCGGCAGTGGCACAAATCCCTTTGTGCAGGAATTACACACAAAAACACAATATTACAGGATTAAAACTAACAATAATTTAGTATAAAATACAAATTATTAGTTCAAACATTAAAAAAAAGCGCAACTATTTAACGAAAAGTAACTCAAGGTTTATATTTCTTTCTATACAGCTTTTGAGAAACTTGGAAACTGCGTTCCTAACTATATGTTACCCATAATTTGATCGGCATTTAAGAATCTTCCGATTTTCTTAGGTGAAGAAGCCCTCTTGTGGACTCGCTTGCGCGAAACAGGAAAATGCGAGCAGTTCGTCAAACAGTTTGTTGGTATTGCTTCACGTCAGCCACAAAGTCAAATTTGGGGGTTTTACGTGCCAAACCTACGACGGGCATCTGGCACGCCCCAGCGGAGGACTGAGGATTATTTCGACCACCTGGGGATCTTTTGACGTGCAACCGAAATCTCGGTTACACGGCGCCTTCTCCGCAATAAGCCTCCGTATATTGCGGGCACCTCGGTCGGGATTTTCACGTCAGCCACATAAATCCTTAGCAGCGCCAAAATTCACATTATTTTCGAATACGCCATATGAGCGGCGGTTTCGACGCCGGGGGATATTGTGAGGAAAAAGAAGTGGCACCGGCAAAGGACGATATAAGAGGAAGTTGTTGAAATAAACGTATAGCTGAGTTTGAGACCTGTCTGTTTTTTCTGTTACTTCTGCTCTTCAAAAAAAACCCCAGTCTCAGGGTAAACGACGAAATGAAAGGACGCGAGCTCGCGGAGTTTGCTGTCCGCACAGGATGTTCCATGGATGAGATACCGCCATTGACGTCCACCGTGTATTTACTTAATCCTTCATTCAATCGCCTTTTATCGGCACCCCAAAAGTATTGTGAAAATCGAACACCAGACGATGCTCGTTTAAGCCGCTGACTACTTCCGCAGACGCAATTGATCACTACATGACAGAACTCGAGCGAACTAAAAAACACTGCCTTCAGACGTAGAAAGACATAGGGCGGTCATCAACATGGCGTTCAGCGAGATTTTGGACATGAAGTACGTCACATGTAGCTGGCCTATAGAACATAAACACTCAGTCGAAAAAGTAGGCTCCTTAACGCCATAAGCACAGAGCCGAGGCAAATAGTACCTTCGGGCTCCGGTGTGGTGGCCTTGCTGCGCTGTCCCTTGTGCGGCTGTCCGATCCGGGTCAGAGCCTCCTCGCTCGACGCTGCCCTCAGGCGACTCCCCGAGCCGTCGGGCACCTGCAGGGTACGCAGTTGTTCGCTGGGGGTTTCACGGCGCAAGGCAGCGACGGCCTCTGTGCACCCACTGCGGCCGGTGGGCTTCCAAAGGCCCGCTTGAGGGACTCTCCACACAAGACAATATTTGTGCCGGGGCACGGGAATAAATTGTGTAAGGTTTTCAAAACTCGTAATTGATTCGGCGCGTGCTTATGATTTCAACGAGAACATCGAAAACGGCGCTGGGGGCGAAACAGCACGACTTTTCTCCCCGCCTTCGCCACCGTCTCCTCCCGATTGTTGTTACAGTGTAACCCGTTTAAAACGAACAGCAGGAAACGCTACGATCAGTTCGATATAGCAGGTAGTTCGATATAGCAAAAAACATTTACAACGAACTTCCACGATGAGTTCGTTGTAAGGCGAGAGCTTCTCTTTCTTTCTCATGTCTTCACTTTCGCCTTGTAACAACGCGCTAAAAATATATATTTTTTTTTTGCATGCGTACAGAGTTATTTTTTTTAGGTTACCTCTTTTTCTAAATTGCTTTTCTTTGTGGACAAACGCTTTGGGATAAAAAGTTTTTTTTTGTGCGTGCGTGCGTGCAGTATATTGTTCAGCTTTCTCCTCTTCTGAATCGCTTCTCTTCGCTCAATTTTGTTCGAAACTTGAGCTTTTTAAATGTTCTTTCTTTCCTACTTCTTCTTTGGGGAATGGACAGGCTAGAAAGACGATTGTTTGCGCGCTTGGGTCGCAAATGTATCGAACTACATTTGCAACCCAAGAAAAACTACCAGAGAGCAACAAAAATACAGACGAAAACTGCAAATACACTAGTATACACAAAACATACAACACGAGAACAAAATTCAAAATAAAATCAATTACATGAATTAGGAAATACATCTTCGATCATTTCTTGAAGGTCTGCGGAGAGGAAGTCTGTTCCAATATATCAATACAGCCAGGGTAAATGTTTAGGAGGTTTGGAATTTAAAACTTTAATATTTGTGTGCCATAGTTCTGGCTCTAGTTTTTTACAAAATGTTCACCGTCCTCATGTCTATTTTTTCCTCACTATCCCTAAATGCCAGTGAGATTGTTAAATTAGTCGTCTCTAGAGTTACTACAGGGTGAATATACCCCTACAGTAAAGAGTCAAGTATCGATACGCGAAATGTCGAGCGCCATCTAGTAGCGCAATGGGAACAACGTCATACATTTTGGTAGCTGCGAGAAAACGAAAAAAGCGACCAGGCAGGCAAAGAACCTATATGTAAACAAGCGACCGTGCGTCGTTCGAGAGATGCGATGTCAATGGGTTGCTGCGTTCTGCAGCGGGTGCAGCGATAAAGCTTCGATTCGTGCGTGACGCGAGCGCAAACGTAAAAAGGTTTCGGAATTTGTTCGTCTTTTAATTAGTAATTTTACACGCAGCTTTAGACAAATACAATAGGTGACACGCGAAAAAACAGGCGGACGTAATCGCGCGGAGTGTACCCATTTACAACTACTGAATTAGGCCCTAAACATTTCATTAAGTTTTAACGAACTTGTTTTTGAATGTGTGATTTTTCTCTGGTGAACGCTGTAGTTTCGACCTTCGGTTTTCCTGATGCGAAAGCAGCTCGATGTATGCGAACGAGACCGAGGCTATGCAGCGAGGCAAAGATATGGCAGTTTTAATAATGTAAGCCACCCACCATGATCGAAGATGCGTATGGTTCACAGTGAACACAAAAGTCCTACGTATGATTGTCTAATAAAAAAAACAACAACATTACTTTGGACAGCCACAGAACAATTTCATTTAACAGAAGCGATTTCTATTCACTTGATCTGGCGTCGGTAAACGAGGTTTGTAAAACACCCCCGAAACTTAACGGGAGAGTTTGTTGATTAAATATTCTTGAATAATTAAAGCGCGTTTATGGGAAATAGAAAACCTAACATATACGAATGACGTGTCTGCTTGCTCAACTCTCCCAAAGACGGAATTGTTTTGTGACCTTTGTCGAACGCCTCGTTTGATTACGTCAATTGCTTACGTTTATCGCAGTGGCTAAAACTTTAATGTCGCCGGCTGCCAAAACGTTATACTACGGAGTGCGGACGCCAAGTTGAGCAAAGGATGCTGCCAACTGCTATTATGGCCTCATTTTCTTTTTTTTTTTTTTTGTCGCAGTTGAGGTAAAATTTTTGCTTCGTGCAGACAAATTCGGGAGGTAGTTTCTCGAGAGTCTCTGCAGTTATTCTGCCAGTGCTAAACAAATCTTCGTTAAACAGCGCGACATCCGTCGACTGTGCTTGTGGTCGATGTTATCAGAAACCAATTGAAGCTCTTAGCAACGCCTGAAGTACATATAGTGCAGGGCGCCGTTTTCTTTACAAGAACTTGGAGCGTCCCACCAATTAAAAATTTCGCCAGTAACAGCTAAAAAAATAACTTTGAGTAACATGTGTTGGATTGGAGCAGTCTACCGCTAACAGTACGACTTCATGCGTCTTCGCATCGAAAAAAGAATTGAAACCGTTTTCAAAAGGGGAAGCCATTACAGCCTGGTCGTTTGTCCATGTTAACTGACTGGAAGTCAGAAAGCAATAAAGTTGCTGAATCACAATCAGTGGCAAAGCTGGAAATGCTGAGAAACCGAAACTCAAGAAATGTGAGGCTACCCTGATGGCCACGCGCACAGTGCTGGCAGATCGCCAAGCAGTTTCGCATATTGTCTAGTATGCGACAAAAAACTGACCAAGTTCGCCCGACGGCACGCTTTGTTTGCGTGCGATGTAGCAGCCACTGTGCTCATGCCACGCGCTGAGCAAAAGCTGCCGGGAAAAATTGGTCCATTTTTCGCAGCATATTTGACCCATAGAGTTCAGACTTAACACACCTACTCCTAGACAAGAAAGCCTGGGTGGTAAATTTTCCTGCGTCCCTAAAGAAGGCCACATTTGGCCAGAGATTGGACAAGACTACGGCGTCAGCGTTCGGCCTTGAGTCGTGTTCTCGCTGACTGAACATTAATTCCAGCCAAACGCAGACGCCAATCTGTGGTCTACGGTAGCCTTTATTATAGTGACGAAGAAAAATTCACCACTTAAGCTTCTTTATTTACGAGGTGTTGGATTACAGCAGCGGAGGCATTGCCTGACACCCAGCGGTGGGTGTGAGTGGCCACATCCTGGAACCTACGTCACGAACACATACAAGGAGGAAAGCGAACGCCCACTTTCCCCTCCAATAGAAACTGTTCCAATTAGCATTGGAACCGGAGGAAAAACGTGTACTTCCGTCCTGCAAATGTCGTGCACGACACAAGTGGGAGCGAGTTATTTTCTGTGTGGACACAGCCCTTTTGCGCCGCACAAAAACCTGCTATTTAAAGTAGAAACGCAAGCGTGATGGTGCACATCCATAATGAAAAACCTAGAGACCTCTCTGTGTCCTCTCTGTTACTTGTCTTTAGGTTTTCCATTATAAATGCGGATGGAAGCGCCGTAACAGGAAAGCTTATTAGCAACCCAATCAGCAACCCAATTATATGGCTGCCGTCCATGAGAGGAGCGTTACATTAGTGGCACTGTGTACTACGAATATACGAGACTTTTAAAACCATGCGACCGTTTTGACTTTAGTTCAAGAGAACGCGAGAAAGATTTGATATTTTTGTATAATCTGTTCATGGATTAATTGAGTGCCATCATCTCATATCAGCCATTTGTGCCCACGTTTCGAGAGCGGTTTTTGAAAGTTTCTCCGAGTGTTAATCAAATCATTACACTTACTCCTATGACCCGCAAACAACGTTCGCATAACATCCTCGGTGCAGCGCTTATCAATTTTTATAGCTAAACTATTGTGAAATTCAAGATGTTTGTGACTTTTCAATAGTCCGTAATTATAGAAATGAATGAATGAATTAATGAATGAATTCCTGAATGAATGAATGCGTGGGTCAATAAATGCGTAAATAAATAAATGAATGACTGAATGCCTGAATGAATGCATCAATGAATGCCTGAACTAATTAATTATTTAATTCCCGAATAAAGAAATGATCGAGTAAATGAATGAATGAATGAATGCAATGACAAATGAATGCAAGGTAAAATTAATGCAAGAGTGAATGAATGCCTGAGTGATTGAATGCATGAATGAATGAATGCCTGAGTGATTGAATGCATAAATGAATGAATGCGTGAATGAATAAATGCATGCATGCACGAATGAATGCCTGAATGAATGCCTGAATAAATGAATGCGTTAGTGAATGATGGATAGATCAATTAACGATTAGTTCTTCAATGCAAGAATGAATGAATGCGTGATTGCAGAGATGCATGAATAAAGAATAAGGAATGAATTAATTAACGAAGGAAGAAAGGAACTAACAAACGACCTAACGACCATCCCGAGGACGTGGCCTGACGCTAGGGGCGCCTCACCTGCAGGGTGGTGGCTGCGTCGAAGGACTGCGTCTTGGTGAGTGTCCCGGCGTGCACGGAGCGTCGGCGCTGCAGCGGAGTCGGCGGACGGTGCTCCACGTGCAGCATCTCGTCCCCTTCGGCCGCGTCCTCGGAATAGCCGCGCTGAAGATCTGAAAAAGTACGGGCTTCGACTACACCAGCCTTTCATGCATCAATGAGGGAGGGTGCCCTATTGTTTTTCTACGGAATACACGTTTAAGCGTTGGTATTCTACTCTTCGCGCACTACAGGGTGTTTCTAAACGCTGTTCGGGCGTAACAACATTTATGCAAATAAGCCAATAAACAGAATGCAATGAAACCTTCCACCAAGGCATTTTAGATGGTGTATTTATCGGGTTCAAATTTCGGTAACTGTAGGTTTCTTAAATAATATTTTAGCCAACATATTGTTTTGTTATTATTCCGGTGCACAGGAAGGAAAACTAACACAAATCGCATGGTTGACGCTACTACTCAAAGATGGGGGAAAATGCACACGACTCTAAAAGGATTCGAACTTATAACTTCCCGAATGGCCGAGCGACGCCTTGGCCCTATTGGCTTCCAACCCTGATAATGTTTGTTTATTACCTTGTTTGTCGTCCTCGGCAATACCTCTACGCGTCGAGCGCCAAGCACGCAAAGGCAATTAATTTTGCTTATATTCCCACCATCTTTCTTCTGTTTCTGCGAGCGAAGTTGCAGTTTGGCGATCGAATTGGGGGAGCATGCCGCGCCCCCGATTCGTTGTTCAGTGACAGTGTGAAATGTCGGCTCGACCAATCGGAGATGCAGAACATTACCTAAAACTCCCTAATGATTTATCATTCTAACTGAAGGTAAACCGCAGGCGATACAAACACCCAGAGTGAATTATGCACCCAGTGCACACTACCAAAAAAAACCCGCTATTTTCAGCAAACATTTTACTCCGCCGTTTCTATGCGCCGGGAGAAGGGTAGAGTTGAAGAAACACGCAACTTCTTTAGAAAGGACACGTGATGTCAACGGCAACGCACTGCCATGTTGATCGACTCACATTATCAGCTCGGAAATTTCGCTTGACGAGGTCTGGCATTTTGACGAACCGGACGTGAACGGGAATGCTTCAGAACATCCTAAGGAGGGCCACTTTAACTTTTCAAAGGTCCTACATCCACACCTGTGTGCGGTGTGGTTTTGCGTATCAATAAAATAATAAACGAATCGGGATCTGGGACACTATCTCCTACGTCAATGATCGCATAGAAAACCGAGGATGCCACACCTTTCACGTCAGACATGCTGAAACCACTGCGAAGCATGTGCTGCTCCAAGTTGGCTGTAGGGAAAGGATCGTTAAAATAAATGTCAGCGCGAACAAGGCAGTTCAAATGAAAGCTTACATTTCGTAAGAACACATAGAGTTTGACTTTACCTAAAATAAATGCCATTCTGAGTTTTACGCAACGTTTATGCGCTGTAAGTTACATCACTGATAAACTGTGATCTTTAGATAAAAAAAATATATAAACGTCCTGAAGATTAAATACTGTTAGCTGAATTATTCCTTAAAAAAACAGTCGTATTATTAGTCACATTTAATCTAATAGTGTTTAAATTAATGCTCGTGCTTTTTACCACGCGCAGTCAAACGGTACTTGGTAGGTCAAAACAACTGCTGCTGTAAAGTAGACCAGCAAAAGGTACTTTTGCTCGCAAAAGAGGAACCAGGACTTGCAGCCAACCAAACAAAAAATATCAAACAAACAAAATAGAATATTACAACATGTTTTGCGTCACAGGAATACTGGTATCGTATGATTGCGAAATCTGTGTCCTAGTACTCAACCTCGTCAAATAGTAAACGAAGAGGCGCCCTCTTGAAGCTATCTTGTTTACGATACATAATTTCCGTATGGCAAAGTGAACATCGTCACTCACTAAATACTGCCTCCATGAGTTATTATAAATCCCACTTCATTCTACAAAATGCTGATTGCAATGATAGTGCACTGGCTCTGGATAAGATAGAATGAACTTCATTGATGATGCAAAAAATTGCAAAAAACATAGTCAGTATTACGCCTTTTAGACGTGACAATTGAAAACAGCTGTTTCTTGGTTAAAAATAAAAGTTTGCACGGTATCGGTGTGTCACTTCCAATGCTTTACATGCGCAATAATTTTAAGTAACAAACAGATGTATTCGAAAATATGTTAGTTTTATACACTTGCTAGCCTACTCAAATACTTTCTATGATTCAATGCTTAGTAGACTTGTGTTGACTCAGAAAGTGCAGGTGTTTTGTTTTACTTTTGAATGTTTCCCAGCTTCATATGAGAGCTGAAGTTGTTTCTCCGAATATTTCTCAGCTTTATTTGAGAGCTGAAGTTGTTTCTCCGAATGTTTCTCAGCTTCATATTAGAGCTGAAGTTGTTTCTCTGCCATAAAGCTTTCACAAATGTCTGATGTGCGGGCGCGGCTTTCATAATTCATTTGGAACCTTTGAAAAGTGTAGGTGTATTGCAACTACTGTAATAGTTTCACTTTTAGCATTATTGTATTCGTAATATATTTGCTGCGTTATCTTTGTTATGTGATGTCGTTTTTTCATCTATGTGAAATCTTATGACCAGACTCTGAAAAGGGGAGATAGCAGGTTTAGGTTCTCCTTAGTAACGTCAGTCCCCGCAAAATGAGTAAAATGTCTGCAAAGGTCCAAGCTAATTTAAAAAGGTAAAAAACAAACAAAACATGTGTCACAAAAATTACGTCTACCAGTATGCGCCCTGTTAGTGTAGTGTCATCTATAGATCCCCCTCTCACATGGTATATTCTACGTGGTATATTCTACGTAGGACAAACGGGACGGTGTGTAAACGACCGGCTACGAGACCTTAATCTCTCTAAAATCGACGGGGGGGGGGGGGGGGGGGGGGGGGCTAACTTATTCGTGCAATGTCAAGCTTGCATATTTACGCCATGCTCAGAAGAAACCTAGATAATAGGTAGATACTATGAAACGCACACCAAAATATATTTTGAAGGATTTAAAGGTGTGATGAAACAATATCGGTTTGGAATATTCAAGACTTCGCCGAGGCGCACTGGTCCTAGTCAGGCCCAAGTATACTCGCACTGACCGCCACTGACTCACAAGTTTCTTTGTCGCGGTGAAATCACGAAGATAAAAGGGTTTTATTTCTTCCAGTTTTGCCTTCGCAAAGCTTGACTGCGGAACAGTTGGATGAAAACCGCCCGCCTGACGGCGGAGAAGCGTGGCTCATGGATTGGACACGAGAACGGCGTGAGTAGTCGACTTCGCCTCGTAAATATCAATGCCTCGGCAACCGCTCGGGTTGTGGCTCGTGTCTAGCCACTGCAGCGATACGAATAACCGAACTCTGACATTGCCTGGAGCTCAGCACGCACTTTCTACTTTCCCGACTCCAGCCCGTGGCTATGATTAGCGTTGGCGGCATAGGATAGGCGCCAGACCACGTGATCCCTTATTGTGCCTCCGCGTTTAGGGGATGAACGATGTTCATATTTCTCAAAGTGTCTTGGCGACTGCCATTGCCTAAAAAAAAAAGAATAAAAAAACAACTAAGGCAAGTTTGTTCACTTATTAGCATTAAGGAGTCATTCTTAGTATTTAGCGAATGCCGAAAACATTTTTAGGGTTCCTTTAACATCCTTAGCCAGGGCGGGCGATATGTCAGCCAGCCGTCCTAATGAGGAGGAAATGAATAATAATTGGGGTTGTGTGGATATTTATACAGCGTCTAGTTGGTCAGACATTTCAAAGTTGTGACGAGTCATTCAATGTAGATGAGCAATTTAGCCAGTGCAGTACAACCGCTAGCCTGGGGTCTTTAACGTGCGCCACGCAGTAGTCGCACACGACCGCACGCCGGTACGATGCTTATCCAGATCGAAACGGACAGGGGTGGGGATTGAGGCCAGGGCCCCTGGGTTCTGCAGCGCGAGCTTCCGCTCTACGTGCTCCAAGCTGGTGTGAGCTAGCCCACTCGGCCACCGATCCCCAGAAGGAAATGACCTTTCTGCAATCCTATCCGTATGGCTGAATCCGCGTACCTCCTCCCAGCTCGTGTGCCCTTATGTCTGCTTGGTGACTGTCGCTCTAGATGATTCGCGGTTTGTACATTTTTATTCTTTTCTTCCTTCGAATACGTGTCTGCTGTGATTACAAAAATAAGATTACCAATCCCTAAATCAGGGGCCCAACGTTTCGAATCCTGTTACGCTTCTTCTTCAAGGGCGAAAATGGAGGATATGAGCCGCAACCTTCTGTTTTCTCTATGGCGGTGGAAAATGCGCACAATCCCTTATGCTTCCGCTATGGCCGTTTTTTGATGACACGTGGTGGAGCCCGTTCACATACAGAGATGGCAGTGCACCAAGAGACCTACTAATGTTTGTTGGCGTGGTCTGAATGTGCCAGGATCCAAGGAAGAGCCTCCGGCGGGGGTTAGTTTCGTTGTCCAAGAAGCGCGTGTTAAGAAAGTCACTGAAATGGTAATGTGAGAGCACAGCTCTTAGGCGCCCGCTTCCGGCTTGAGTGGCGTCGCCGTCGGCGTAAACGTTGATTACATTATAGGATGTTTCTCCTAATGAACTCACAGGCGACGTTACGTGTGACGTCAAAAGGATCACGAGCGTCATTAGAGTCATGAGTGACGTCTCGAAGGTCACTCGTGAAGGTCACGACCTTCATGAGCGACGTCACGAGTGACATCACGAGGGAAGGGGCAGGGGAAGAGAGGGAGGGGGAGGAGGAGGGGAGAAGAATGAGAGGAGGACGGAGGAGGGAAAGAGGGAGGAGGAGGGGGAGGGGAGGAGGAGAATGGAGGAGGTGGACAGGAGGAGGAGGGAAGGAGAAGTGGGTATGGAGAGCACAACCTCTTCTCCGTACGCTCTCCTCCTACTCCTCAAGAGCTGCGCTATAATTCGGCATTACATGAAATTGTAAACGTCTTTCTTTTTGTTTCAGTGTCCAGAAACCACGCTGCGCTCTTGATCGAAGTTGCGCACATCAGCCTTGTGTTGGCGAATCTGCTCATAATAGTTCTTTGTTTCGCCGATGTACGGGAACGGGCGTTCCACACAGGGATTCTTAAACGCCACACATTGCGCTTTCTCTTTAGGGGCCGATCTTTTGGTCGTAGCGTAAAACGTCAAATTGTTCAAATTGGCTTGGGGGCCATCTGTCATCGCGTATTATCAAAACCAAGAGCTCTCTTAAAATATTATGTTTCTATATCTTTAATAACCACAGAAATACTAGTGCCCGAATGCTATAGACCTCCTGAGTGCGATCCACTAGTCGATAAAACTTTTCAAAATAGTATGAAAAAGATTTATCCAGCTTTTCCAAGTACGTGGTGATTTTAATTTTGCAATGATCTCACCTGGGTGACGAATGCTCTTCCTCTCCGCCTGTGCTCTCCTCTGCCTGCGGCGGATCTCTTCCCAGCGTTGCTCCTTTTCAATTTCCCTTTCCACGAGGAGCAGTAAGTAAAGAGTTAATGCACCCTGCCTAGCATTCCTGGAATATGTTGTGCGTCTCTGAACGTTTTCAATTCAATCAGCTAATTACGACGTTTCAGTGTAGGATCTTGACTTGCAGGAATGTTACAGTGCTGAAGCAGGATATGCGCCGAATGAAATATCTGTACAACAAAGGGAATGATCATGCGACATGCTTCTAGATCTATGAGCCCCTTTGGAATTACTAACAAAGATTTAGTGTATTCTTACAACCATTTTGACTCGTTGTGAATGTTTTTGTTACAACAATAGACAAATCTCGATTCAAATGCATTTGAGAGTATATACTAAAAAATGCGGTATGATGAAACTTGTTCTGAATAAGCATTCGCATTACGCCATAGTTGATGCTAAAAATCAATGACATTACAGAGCATTTGACAATCTTAGAGCATTAGGGTAGACCAAAACTAAGACACTCAAATGTTAATACCACTGGTTTCAATATAGACGAGAATCAGGAGGTTAGGGTATTTTCTTAAAATGTGACAGAAAATGTTTTTGTGAAAAAAAGTATATCACCATTCTCCTTCATCATGCCACAAAGAAGTGATCATACAATGATTAGTCAGTTGTGATGGCACAGCCAATCGATTGTAATAAAATATATTTCAATTGTACGGGTTTCGACTGCAATTATTTACTGCGAAAATACTTCTCAAAGCTGGAGGATTTATACCCAATAGATACTTCCATAAAATTACGACAGTCAATTAGGATAATTTTTAGTGAATGAGTGAAGCATCCTTCAGTATTTGGACAGTTAATCATTGCCAGGCACACGAAAGGCAGGTGCCGCCGCTAGTGTTACTGTAAAAATAAAGTATGGAAGCAAGTATGAAAGAGCCAACATAAGCAGTAGAGTTTTAGGCTCAATACAGTTCAAAACTAGCCCCCCGAACAATGAAAGCAATTTACGTAGCAACAGGATTTGAGAGCATTATTCACAAACACGGTCAGAAATGTTTTCAAGAATGAAATGTCGTAATTATAGACGGGCGTTATTCAGACATAACAGTTTGCAAACAGTGTCTCCTCCAAACGCCCAACGAGCATTCGGCGACAGTTGCTCGATGTTCAACTTACTCGATAAGTGTGTCGTGGCATGTCACCGGCAGACTGAGCCTGAGAAACTCGTAGTTGACCTTCTCCACGGACTCAAACAACTTGTGGATGATCTTCAAGGCAGGAGGGCATTCCCCTCTGTAATAAGCAGAAGCTCCGCTTTCATTCGAATTGCTTATCTGGCGCAGATCATAAAAAAGTATATTTGTGACAGATTGCATAGCATGAGCATGGTTAAGGCCTGTTCACACATTCACCCGCTCGCTAACTCGCCGCTATAGACGAAGCGCTGACTTTGAGCTATTACAGTCACCGTGGAGCTAGCTGGTGGAAGCTTACCCTGATGATTTTAACCCAATACTGGGGTAGAAGGAGGAATAATTTTTTACAGTGAAATAAAAGGTAACAGGGACATAGAACCTCTCTCAGCTATGTCATAGCGATATCAGCGCTCCGATGCATGTTACGTTGCCCTTTCTTATTTACACACGCAAGACAGCGCTGACTCACTACCGACAATAGTTCTGATTCAGCGCTGCAACATTCTAGGGCTAAGATGCGTATGTGAACCGGCCTTTGGAGTTTTGAAGGGCAGTACGGCGTGCAGGTTCGGCAAGAAACTTGCACACCAAAGTTACAATTTACCCGCAAAATGGATGAAAGCCATTAAAATAGAATTAAAAGAAGTGATTGCATAGGACCCAAAATTCAAAATGCTGAATGTTTACAATAATTCGGCGTCTCAAAGCATTACCATACTGTAAAAGCCACCGCAGCAAGAGGCTTTGTTTTCCATCAAATGAGATGAAATTTAAAATAACGGGGAGGGAGTAGCACGAAAGAAGTTGGCACACCTGTATTTTATCATTAAAACGTCCTCGCAATCAACAGAGAAAGCCCACAGTGGATTTCTGCTATAGCTTGCCAAATTATTTCGTCTCCACCCCCTGCGTCGTTATCTTCGCAAAGTTGTTAAGATACTCTCTAAAAAACATATTTTTGCTTAACGATTGAGCTACTCTTATTCAGATGAAAAAAATGACGAGATGGCATTTTCCTGCATAATGAATGACCCACGAAAGAGTGTAACTGAAGTGCAACGCACGCTAATCGATTTCTGGTTTCGGTTTCGCGACGAAATGCAGACGAATTAAATAAATCCTTTCAAAACGCGTCCAGTTGTTAATTTTGTCGTGTCAATATTTTTTATGTAGTAATAATATATATATACGCTTTTTATATCTATAAACACAGTAAAGTCACAAATATCTTTGGGGAGGTGCGTAATTCTTGAAGGGCAACAAATCAAGCCCCATATCAACATTTTGGGCATGGCGAAAAATTCAAAATGCATTAGTAACATAAAAAAAAAACAAGAAAACCTTGTCATTTTTTCTACAGCTGGAGCCAGAGCGTCTTGAAGATTGTAACAGAATATTTATAAACGGGGTTTATGTACCCTTTTTATATAACTTGTCCGTGATCCGCACACATCACAGTCCCCTACACCAAAGGCTTCCCTCCTCCCAGTACCGCGCTATGATAGTTTCTTTGACTTGCATTTGTTGTGGTATTGCACAAAATACAGCTCGTTAGTGGTCGAATGGAGCTATACAGAACATAAAAATCATGTTCATACAACCTGAGTGCGAAAAGAAACCTATAAAAGGCATGGGATGGTTTTTGTTTTTCCCAGATATCATAGGCTTTGTTGATAAACTTGGCCGTCTCCTCATTTATGGCGTCTCTAATGTTGGGAATATTGGGGCCTTCCACGGAAACTTTCATTAAGGCTTCTACATGGGCGGAAATCAAATAATACCTTTCTGAGCTAAGGGTCATGTTCATGGCTGAGAACAATCTCGTTACACCAGCAGTTCCAACAGGAAGAGACAATATCTTTGCTGCAGCAGACAGAGCAGGAAACATGGCTTTCCTCTCAATTCCGCACGCAAGTTCCACATATTTTTTCTGAGAAGCCAGGTCGGCAGGATATCTTTGGTAGACCTTATATTCGCTGACCATGTCCTCTTCGCTCGTCACGCACATCTGATATTTTTCTGAAATTTGGATTTACCTCTCTTGATAAGAAAACTTCGTGAAATCTTTCGAGCTCTAGAAACTCGTCAGAAAGCCTTTTCTGGATATTGTTTACAAATTGCTCTATATAAGATAAAGCTAGACCTTGACAGGCTTTCCCGCTTGCCTTGTCGTTATCCTCCATTTGCAATTATTTTCTTTGTTCTTTTTGCACGAGTTGTCCTACCTCCAACTTGAGACTTTTTAGACTGATGTCTCAAATTGATGACATGACTGCTCGGAGTAGCGTTGTGACTTTGGTGAGATTCTCTGTCGAAGTCTGTAAGCACTTGCTCAAACAAGCAAGTGAAGCTAGAAGAGCCGACAACAAGACGGCGATAAATATGGTTGATTTTTTTCGAAAGAGAAGAAGCCCCCCAGCGTTGGAAGAATGGTCTACAGCGTCGGAGTAGATGTGCTCCGGTGCAATACAGATGGACGCATACTGCTGGATTGTGACCTTCACACTGACATCATAAGAACTTTAAACTTTAAACTCTGCCCTTGCTTATATGATGTTGGGCACGTCTTGGATTCCTCGTTAACTTTCTATAAACTGTTCAAGCGCGAACGTCGAATGCCAGCGTCCGGCGTTCCGCGTTTAAACAGTCAGTAGGTAGGAGTAGAGAAAATGTTAGATAGCTTTGCTTCTAGCGGCTTACTAGCGCAGCGGTAGAATGTCAAGCTCACTATCGCGGGTTTACTTTCCGTCGGGGCGCGTTTAGAATACCGGTCTTTCTTGTCAAGCTAGCACTTTTTCCCATAGATTTTCCTCTGAAGTACGTGTTACGCATTTCCCAACGGTTTTCATGGCGTTCCCTCGCACTTTGCTTGGGAATTACAAGCCCTTGAACAGATTCTGTGCTAACACAACACGCGACAAGCTAAGCCAAAAACTAAAAAAATAATCTGAAATTAAGAAAATAGTATTGAAGCGGCATGAAGCATGAACATGAAAATTTCTCAGCTATACACCGACGCGCCGCGCTATGCTTAGAAACACGGCAGTAGAGTTGCGCATGCGCAGAATGGGGTCTCTGCAAGAGCGACCACTCGCGGAGTGTTTTCTTCGTTGCAACGCGGGCTGTACGTTCACTAACCGAAGCTTCCGCGGCGTTTCTAGCATTTTGTTTTTGTGTCTTATGATGTTACTTTTTAATGTCTGACTATTGGTGCTCGCTGCGAGAGCCCGAGCAGCTGCGATACAGAGAGAGTAAGTACACTGATGGCGCTGCCTTTGAGGATCCCAACGACATGAGAAAGGAACGCTAGCGCTCCAACGCCAAGTCGGCGAAGTTGTTGCCGCCAATCTCGATGGCGGACGCTGTCGTCTACCGGGTCTTTTCGCCGAACTAATTTACGGCCGACACGTTGCAAGCGTACGAGTCTCTCGAGGCCTACGACTACTTCGGGTCTGATAAGAACTGGTTGAGGGCTATGCGTGCGAATACCTATATCGGGAGTTGTTCCTGTCGAAATTGTAACTGCACTTTTTTACGCTAATGTCTTGGTACGAGACTTCAAGCTCTGGGCGCCTCAAAGCGCCGCGTTGGGCGTCGTCCGAGCCTAGGTGATGCAGTCACAGCAGGCAGCTATTACACTAGTTGATATCTGGATGGAGCGAGCAACCGAGGCACTGTTGGGCGGCAATATGTGTGCAGACACCATAATCCGGTGGTCTGGTTCAGATGACGGTTTTCCTACGCATAGAGGTGCCTCAGTACTGGGAACGATGATTGCTGTGGAAGCTGCGCATTTAGCTTCAATGAAGGCTTGCCACGCAAGCGGTCCTTCGTGCAAGGCGACCATTATATATTTTCTGCGTCTATCAGCGTCCGCCGAGACCTTGTGGAAGCTCATTCCACGACTTTCGCAGTACCTTTCGGCACAACCAACAGCCGCGCAGCTTTGCGGAATGCCGAAATACTGCTTCGCACGTGCAAAGCGCCCGCTGTTTTGCCCACACCTGGCCCACCTGGCCGATCGGGCACGATCCTAGCGCCGCCGCAACTCAGTGACGTCAATCTCGTGCGCAGGTATAAAAGTGAATGAATAAATATTTTATTAAAGAGTATATTTAATTGAAAGACTGCATACTTTATAATATAAAAGTACTCAGTTGCAAGAGAGTGAGTTCAGAACGGAGTAGACTTACCCTGCAGGAATTCGGCTGACTTCAACATTCGGATGGAATGCATCGTCCACGTTGACAAAGACGGCCTCATCCTTGTTGTACCAGAAGGTCATGTTGCGATTCATGTTGCTGTTTTGGAAAACAGAAGAAAAATTAGATAATAACTTCCATACTGGTGATAAGTGGCAGGAGTGCTGCTTCACTGGCCACAATGGCGAGCTACTCTTTTATTTCGTTTTAATTTTACTTATTTCCGTCAAAGCGCAAGAAAACACTACACAAGGGGAGAACAAAAATAACGAATACACATTAAATACAAAATGCCTAAAATTTAAAAAAAAAATATATTTGAAAAATTTGATACAAAAAGCAATCGCTACATGCCCCCAGATTATACATAAAGTAATAAAAAAATAGGAATAATTCAACATAATCATTTTTAAATTGACTACAATCAAAATTGTTTACCACACTCTCGGGTGGGCACCTCCGTTGTATAATAGACAGATTTAAAGGAAACTTAAAATAGTGCTTATTGCGACATGAGGGCAACCTACATTTGTGTTGGCGATTAGCGCAATCACCAACACAAATGTGTAAATTTGGTGAGGGCGTAGTAAAAGCTGAGTTTTAAGACACGGATTATGGTGGTTCTCGATCAAAAAAAGGTCAATCACTATACTTTCCGTCTGTTGGATAGAGATGCGAGGCTCGCTTTTAACTTCACGGAGGCCACACAAGATGTAAAATGATAATCCCTAAAAATAAAACGTTGCCTTTGTTTTGGACAGCGTATTCAACCATCGAACGATTAGATGACTCGTAAGTTAAGGAGCGAACATTACAAGCTGCCGAACAGCATACGACTGTTAAATACGCGAAGGAAAAATACAGCGCCCACCTTCACATAAAATCAACGGATACATTAGGCCGGTTCACACATGTGCGTTTGACTGTGATCGACCCTGCAACAACCACCTGTGACGACTTCCGACAACACACTGGCGCCATCTCTTAGCACGCCCGGGAACACTCCGAACGTCCGTAACGCATCATTCCTCAGCCAGGGGCATGGAATAATTCTGACCACGTTATGATGCAATTTTTCATATATAGCGTGTAAAATTTGGTCCCACCCGCTAAACGTTTACTCTGATTCTATGCAGATCGGAAGGGCTTTTAAGGGCTACTTGAGAGATGCCGCCAGTGTACCGGTGTGTTTACTGATAAACCGTCACAAGCGGCCGTGACGCTGAGTCAATCACAGTAAAACGCAAACGCGTAACTATCATGAAGAACTTCTAAAAAAAAGCAAAAAACAACAACAACAACAATGGCCATGTTGATACTTTCTCAATGGCGCCTGAACTGAAGTCTTAAAAGAGCGCGCAAGATTGCACTGGTGCATTAGAGCGTGATTATTAATGGCTAGTGATTTGGAAACTTAATTAAAAATAATAAAAATAGGGCTCTGACTAGGATTGAGGAAATAATAAACATGTAATACGAAGACGACACAACCGAATCTTTCATGTATTTAACATACCTAAAGTCGCCTGGTAAGGAGATTACATGGGGACGGGGGGTACAAAATTTTATGAAACAAAATACAACATGCCGTAACACACATATTACACAAAAAGTCATATCAAACTAGAAAATAATAGCCATCTATAAATACGGTACAAAAAAATTCACAAGCCCACAAGCATCATTCATGAGTACCGCAAAGTAATAATTTTCGCCATGTTTTCAATGTTGTTCTATCTGTAATTTCCACAATATTATGAGACAGAGCGGTCCAGTCGGCAGTGACAGGCAGCAATAGGGAGCTGAGAAATCGGTTCGTTCGACATTTCAGAGCGCAACTCCTAGGCGCCCGTTTTCGTGTTTCGTAATGTCGGCGTCGGCTTAACCACGCTAAATTTGGCAGAAAAACTGAAGTCACGTGACATCAACACCAATTCAATTCCCTGCTATATTTACTGGGGAAATTCAGGTTCTCCGCTAGACTTAGCGGATAAATTCAGTTTCCCGCAATATTTAGCGGGAAAAATGTCGTTACATGACTTGGTGTCACGTCACCTATGAACAAATTCAGTTTTTCCGCTAGAGTTAGCGGGAAAATTGAAGTCACGGGACAACTACACCAATTCAAATCCCCGCTAAATTTAGAAGGGAGTGAATTGGTGAATAGGTCTTGTTACGTCGATTTTCCCGCTAAATCTAGCGGAGAAACTGAATTTGTTCATTTGTGACGTGACACCAAGTCATGTGACACCATTTTCCCCGCTAAATTTTGCGGGGAAACTGAATTGGAGGAGGAGGGGAGAGAAGGGAATAGAGGAAGATGAGAGACATACCCTCTCCTACGTACGTTCCCTTCCTCCTCCTCAGCAGCTGCGCTCTAATTTCGCATTACAAAGATTGGGAAACATCTTTCATTATTGTAAGCAGATTTAATGAGGTTGATCCTGTCCAGAAAAAAATAATGCGATAAGGGGGAAAGTAATAGCCTCTTTTTGACGGGAATCTGATGGGAGCTGGGCCCTGGCAAATGATTTGAAATCTAGAAAAGAAGTTTCGGTAGATGTTAAAAGCAATTTTCACATAATGGACCCAAATGATCGACTTGCCTTATTCACAATGTAATCAATGTGTTCATGCCAGCTTAGGTTATTGTAAAGAATAAAAAAAAGCCAGATATATTTATTTTCTAACGTTTTCAAGGGAGGCACTGTTGATTGTGTAATTGTAACACATTTTGGTTTTAGTCGTTGATGCAGTCATACTTTTGGCTTTGATGGTTTTATTACGCATTTGCCACTTATGCACATGCATATTTCATAAAGATGTCCGTTAATGAATCAAAATAAAAGAGATTCCCATAACTGATAATTATATTGTGCTGGCACAATGAACAAGGCAAACTCCAATTTCGCAAGTAAAATATCCTGCCCCCTGAAAAAGAAAAAAAGGTAGCAACCTCGGCCAGCCGTGTACATAATAAGCAATTTTGTGTTATCAGGTTCATTTTTTAGCAATCACTTGTTTTTTTTTAAACAATCTTTGTTTTTTTAGGACTTCGTTTCAGGATGTGCACAGTTTTCAGAGTCAGACATTATTTAACTCTCACATGCAAAAGTTTGCGCAGCAAACTCCAGTGTGAAGAATATTAAATATAGACGATACATAATACCTGATAGAAGGAAAATTGGAGCGGCATTTACATTCAAAGTTCTATAATGCATAAAATGCATCATAGAAAATTGGTGGGCCACATGATGTATAATTTCCTTCTATATTGAGCGGTGAAACTTAATGGTTATATAGGTCACGTGATGTCGATTCCCTCTGCTAAATTTAGCTGGGAAACTGGACTGGTGTCCAGGTCACAAGGCATGATTTTTTTCACTAAATTTAGCGGGTAACTGAATAGATATATAGGTCACGTGACGTCAATTTCCAGCTAAATTTAGCGGAAAAACTTAATTGGTGTTTTGGCCACAGAACGGGAATTTCGCCGCTAAATTTAGAGGGGAACCTGAGTTGACGTTTAGCTCACGTGCCGTTTATATCCCCAAAGGATGGACGGACGGATGTACAACATTTTTTGACTGGGGGTAGCGTTAAAAAGCATTTCATGCTTGAATAACATTCAACAAATCGCGGGATCCGAATGGACACAACGTATTGATATAATGATACATACTCGATACTTTCATTAAGGTGGACTGCAACGGTTGAATCATGTCGAATATGTTAACATTTACGATAAAATATACGTGGTAACCACAGATATTCATTTTGTGCATTAACAAGAAATATCTCGTTAATACTCAAACTGGATTAAATATGGTGCTGACTCTTCATGCATTGAAAGTTAATTACTGCACTCACCCTGGCACCAGTGCTGCATAAAACAACATTAATGTTACGCAGAACCGTCATTACTGTTGCGCCTTGAGAGCGCTCGTAGGGGAAAGGAACAGGACGACCCAGCTCTCGTGAATAATTGACTTCGACTTCTTCCTTTTCTCCCTATCCGCTCTCATGCCCGCGTGCGAGGAAGGATCGTTTTAATATTAATTTTCAACAATTACCAGCCGAAAGAACTTCAGTTTCATTCGATTAGTTTTCGTGATAAACGCGTAGAGCAAGGTGGCTTGTACAATACACACTTTTATAAGCCCCGCAAAGTTAAAAAGACAAATTTTTGTTGTAGTAAAATGCGCTCGAAGACACAAGGGAAATTAGGAGAGCGATAAATGTACAATGATGAACTTGAACTTGTTGCTTAAAAAATAATTTTAAATTTCATTAGGCCATAAAAACATAGCGGCCTTTTTAAAGCACTAAATGACACCTTCGGATGCAATTAAATTGACTGAAGAGAAATAGTTACCTAGCTCATATCAATATAAAGATCTCTCTTCCACAGTTGCGAGTAAAAATTGGCAGCAGTTTTTCAATGTTATATTGCTCTCACATATGTGGAAATTTCCTGCTACCGGTATGTAAAAGGTGTGCTTGACTTTTACACATCAAGGACTTTGCATCCTTCATGAATTCTGCAAGTCCACCAAAAGGCCTCACATAACCCATCATCTATATTTTTATGAAGGATATAAAAAATATATCTTTCACAACAATGACAATCTTCCATTTTTTGTATAGAACCACAGAATCAAGACCGATAATTTGTGGATTTTAGAAAGACGAGGTCAGAAAGGATGAAAGCTGCCTAGACGTTTCAGCCAAGCACTTGCAAGCGAGGTTTCACTAGAGAAAAAAAAAGGGATCTTGTCATATTACTAGTGAACAATTTGAGTAGTTACATCTTTAGACGCGGCATTTTTTCCATTACAGAGCGGTCACCGAATTTCAGCGATATTTCGCGTCGCTATTATCCTAACTGTCATATTTGAAAAAAAAAGAAAGGTTAACGTGGAAAGTTATTTTCCACAAAGTGCCTAAAAACTTAGCAGAACATAATTTTTCTTTTTTTGCAAATTAACAAGCCTTAAGAAAATTCGGGCCCACTTTTGCAGAAGGGAGCCAACTTAAAAAGGACAAGCGGGACACTGCTTACACGCAGAATGGTTGATAGCCCTCTTGAAGGCCGCAGGTGGTGAAGTAGCGCAGCAGGTTGACGTCGTGGCCAAACACCAGCCTCGCCTTTTGACCAATACCGAAGGTGCACGCTGGCACGTAGGACGCTGTAAAAAAATCCAACAAAACGCAGCTGACCAAGCTGTCTCATGACCAGCATATTTTGAACACCGGAGACTATTTCGAGCTTGCGACCACTAAAAGGGGATCTCCGTTCCGCCTTGGCAGCGGATTGGCAGCGCCAGCAAACACAGAGTCCGCATTTACCTCGCCTAGTCAAACGCTCCGACCTCTTCTAATGCACACACATCGCTCGCGTGTACGCCGTCCCGCGGTCGTATTTTTGTCATTTCGCTCTAAATCAGAGGCTGGGCATCTTGGCAATCGAAAACGTAGCCACGTCCAGCGTTCTCTGTATGTGTGTTAATAGTAGCTTTATTTTTTCCAACAAAATACAATGTTGAAAAGGTGACACGGGAAAAAAGCTGTAAAAACAGCTTGACGAGCCCCGAGCCACCTATACCAGCAGTCGCACTGCAGGCGCCAAAGAAATTATACAAAAATTAAACATGACATGTGTACTACATGTTTGAGAAACTTCACACACAAAAAAAGAGCTGACGCTATACAAGATAAGTAGCATATTCATACAATTTACACAATAGCGAAAACATACACAGAACGTTAGGACATCACTGAAATAAACGCGAAAGAAAACATGGATTCAAGAGATTTTAGCGCTTATTCCGGACAATGTGGCTCGAAATTAACATTTGAAATAAATATTTCCCGTAAGATGCTCACCGATATATTGCTGAGCTCAATACCTTGCCTAGTAAGCTGGTTAAGGGTAGTCGGCAAAGTATATTTTAAACTTTGGTGGCCGTAATTTGTTCTAAAAAAGGGTACTTCCCAAGGTTCTTTAATTCGTGTTGGGTATCTATAAATTTTATCTGTTAGCTTCGCTAAGTTTTTAATGTGATATTGGGATAAATTTGTTTCTATTTTATACCTTGCACATAAACGATATTTGTATAAATCAAAAAATTTCATCACACCAATTTTACTGAAAAGATCATCGGCTGGATGTTCTAGTGGCACATTAGAGATACTTCTTAATATCTTTTTTTGTCACGTAAAGATTTTGTGGAGGTTGATATAGGTAGTAGTGCCCCATATGAGTTGACCATAATTTAAATGTGAATAAAATAATGAATTATATAATATTAACTTTGTTCTAAGTGGTAGAGTGTGTTTATGACGATAAAGAATACCGACGATGCTAGATAATTTTGATACGATATGATTAATATGGTCGTCCCATGACAAGTTTTCTTGAAAAATAACGCTTAAAGTTTTAAATGCGGGAACAATTTCTATCTGAGAAGAATTTATAAAAATATCCTTGGTAACATTAATATGTTTATTCTTAGGTCGGAATATTTGTCTTTTGTCTTAACGGCGTTTATTTTTAATGCATTATGTCTACTCCATCTATTAAGCTTTTCTAGTGTTTTGTTCGCGTAATCAATAAGCTCCGACGCTGTTCACGTTATTTCACCCACAGGGGTTGCTCAGACCTCGAGTTCCATTGTGTCTCCCCCGTAATGCGCGGGAACGAAGGAAACATACCTATATGTTTTTCCTTTGTGTGCGCTGGAATATGCCACTACGAAACGTTTGTGTTCGACGATCCGAAAATCACTATGGGAGTACATTCGCAGTGACTGAAAAATCTACATGAGTTATTTTCGCTCCTCTTATTTTCAGATTGATCTTTACTCGCTGGCGAATTGAATATACGTACTGAGATTGAGAAGATCACGGAGGTTTTGCAGTGAATTAAAGGGATCCGAGTTCTAAATTGCCAGGTCTTGGGTGAAAAAGTTGCGGGTAGTTCAAACACTTCTATGGCATAAATATTTTAACGAGACTGGTAATAAATTCTTGATGACTCTCAGCTTTCATAAATCAACACCGCTGTTGTTGTTGTTTTTTTTGTTTTTTTATAAATGCCGATTTTTGCCTCTGAACGTTTTGTATAGCGGTGTGGTTACGTAAGTTGACGTTAAATAGAAACCAAGGTTTGCGGCCACCAGGTTTGGTCGATATATGGCTATAGTATTTTAGAAGTACATTTTCCATTTATATTTCTGTATCGCGATCTTATTTTTGAAATGTATATTTTATTCCTACGTCAAAATATATTTTTGGGCTTATTCCTGGTATCGCGGTCCTATCAAGAGTAGTTGTACTGGTTCAACGACGAGAGGGTACGGAGCGCGTGATCGCCTACGCAAGTCAGTCTTTGTCGAACGTGGATCGAAATTACTCGACGACCGAGACGGAATGTCTTGCCGTCGTCTGGGCCATCACAAACTAACCCCCCATACCTGTACAGAAGCCCGTTTCGAGTGGTCACAGACCACCACTCACTTTGTTGGCTTAAAGACCTGAAGGATCCCTCAGGATGTCTCGCACGGTGAAGTCTTCGACTTCAAGAGTTCGACGTGACACCGATGTTTTGCCTAGGGCACCAGTCGAGTTGGCGTCTGAGCGCACCAACGACAGCGACGACAACGACGACGACGTTTTTGTCCGCGCGGTGACCGTGAACAAGATGGCAGCACATCGCGAGACGATCCTGTGCTGCGTGCACTCGTCGAGCATCTGGACGGAGGGAGTGCAGTTACACGTGTCTTCGCATGATATATGGCAACCTTCGCTGTTCGAGAGAGTGTACTGTACAATGAAAACCTCGGCGGCACCAACTCGACTTGGCTGCTGGTTATCTCTGTCAGTCTTCGAGTGTATGTCTTCCAAGCGTGCCATAAAGATCTGACGGCGGGGGAACTGGGCTACAGCTCAACACTTGCACGGATTCGAACAAAATACTACTGGGCCAAGCTCCAGAAGACTGTACATATCTACGTCCGATCGTGCCGCGAACGCCAACGGCGCAAAAAGCCACCGACGAAACCGGCAGGACCCTGCAGCAGATCACTCCCCCGACTACACCGTTCCAGCAGAACAAAATGAACTTCCTTGGACCGTTCCCGCCGTCGACGCAACGAAACCGGTCGATCATCGTAGCGACCAATTAAATCACAAGGTACGCCGAGACAAAAGAACTCCAGTCGGGAAGCGCTGTGCAAGTAGCCAAGTTATTTGTCGAGGCCATCGTCCTCAGGCATCGTGCCCCTAAAGTACTGATTACAAACCGAGGATCGTTGTTTTTGGCACAGATAACTCAGATCCTCCGGCTCAGCCACACCAGCCAATGTCGAACGACGGCGTACCATCCGCAGACGAACGGGTTGACGGAACGGCTAAACATGGCCATCGCCGACATGATCGCCAAGTACGTCGACGTGGAGCACAGGACGTGGGACGAGGTCTTACCCTAGGTCACGTTTGCCTACAGCATGGCAGTTCAAAAGACTACTGGAGTTCCATCTTTTTAGCTGGTACATGTCTGGAAAGTAACGTCCAATCCAAGTAACGTGGGGCAGCACAACTCGTGCTGGCTCACGAGTCGGCTGATGATTGGAGTGACGACACCCAGGTGGTTTCTCAACGGGCCGAAGAAGTTTGTCAGCTCACCCGACTCCGGATTCAAGACCTGCAGCGTGTCGACACTGGCCGCAACAACCTTCGTCGTCGGGACGTTCATTTCCAGCTCGGAGACAGGGTGGGGGTGTGTATGAACATCCATTCGTCGCCGCCGCCTCGGCGAAAAACTGTTGAAACGGTACTTCGGACCGTACAGGGTACTCCGTCGCCTCGGGTAGCTCAACCACGAAGCGGTGCTGGGCGGAATGCAAGCGTCTTCTAGACGCCGACCACGACCCGAGGCGGTTCACGTCGTTAGACTCAAGCCGTTCTCGCTCGGTAGCACTGAGAACTTTTTGCTTCCCAGAGGACGTTATTAGCTTTCCATTATTTTGTATTGTTTCGTGTTGCATCGGGGCGGTGCGCTTTTAAAGGCGGAGTGATGCCGCGTGCATGATTGAGAAGATACGCTTCTCCGTTCATCTAGACGAGCATAGTAGATAAAGAGCCGAGCGCCGTTTTGGCGATTCCTTCTCTCTCGCGATAGTCAACTGTTACGCCGACACACCGTCGCTTGCTGCTGCCGCCATCGACATTCTCTGCTGCTTCCTGGGCTTGCGTTCTTTTTCGTTTCTGGGACAAGTTCGCCCCCATTAAGTCATTAGTTCATACCGTTTTCTTCAGTCTCTCTGTCTGTCATTCGTGACAATATATATATATATCTGTGTGTGTAAACGCATTCGTATAGTGCTTTGCTTAGGTCAAAGCCGGACAAACTTTAGCTTAGAATCCATATGTTTTCAATGCGTTTTGATGCTTCTTTTTCTAAGCTTTAACGACGTTTATTCTTCCTAGAATGCAACGACGTTTATCTTCCTAAAGCAGTGAAATCGATAAAGAACCTTAGTTCTATTTTCATCCAATGTTACCGTTCGGATCCCTAAAAACCGTCATGTCAATAGGTTTTCTTTTACATGTAGTGCTGGCATAAAAAGTGTATTTATTTTACCAAAATAACTAGCCTTAAAACAAATAATCAATTAGTTGTGCAGGCCCAATCAAAAGTGCAAGTTGCTAAACTGAGTTCTGTCTTTCTTCAAATGCATTTAATTATAAGGGACTCGTCTTCCGATAGCCTTGAAAATTGTGCAGGAAACCAGAAGCAGAATGGATTGCAGCTTACCAGGGGGAAATTAAAACTATGCAGACTGTAGCGTTAAAATAACAAAAAACAACAAGATATTCCTACAAAGCACTTCTATTCTACTGGCTAGTTTTATTAGAGCTTTAATTTCCACAGTATGCAATACCAACAAGCCAAGGTACATGTCCTACATTGTTTAACGATAACTTTTCGCCAATTCCCTAGTTTAAATAAAATTCGCGCTTTGCAACTAGTGAGTTGATTAACTTTCGTTGATTTGCCTCACGTGAATAAACAGTTAAATAACATATTATTTCATTCAGACTTCCAATAAGGGCTAACGGAGCTGACACCACTTAACGACGTTCCCACAGCCGTCCAGAGTACTAAGCAGGAAAGAAACAAATTGAATATTTGTAGGCAAGTAGAAGCCTGGACAACTGCTCGCCCTTACATAAAAGTAGCGAACATCAATCACAAAATATTTATATCAACAATATTGTGAACAATATTGCACACATACGCCCACCACCACCTATCGGAGGGTTAAAATTTTATTAAAAAAAATAGAAGATATTGATTTATCACTCCTGAACACAACCGAATGTTTTAAAGTACTCACCGCCTTCGCCGCAGGGAATGTCTGAGAAGGCAGTCTCTCCACCCAATGAGTCAAGGAGCAGCTCTCCGTTGAGAGAGAAGCCTGTGCAAATGAAAACACCCGCCGTTACACTGGGACAGGGAGGGACACGGTTAGCATGAATTCAAGGGTGCCAGGAACGCTCTGCGTATAATAATTAATTCAAAGTTATTCTGAAGGGTAGTAGACCATGTTATTCACCGTTTATTCTCTCCGCTGCGGTTCGACGTTAGTTCGTGATTTTATGGAGGAGCATACTCAAGTTTAAACAATTTGAGGTCTACAGCATTTCCCATATAAGATTTTTCTTGTCACGGTTTTTTTAGAGTAACATGTTTCGTTTCGTATCCTTTTGAGGATAATATACATATTAGACATAAGCAAATATACCTAGGGTAAGATAATTTTTTCTTAAAAAGTCAAAAACTCAATTTGAAGTCTTACAAAATACGTACGAATTTCAAAGTTCCTCCTGCAGGAGTTCCTTTCTAAAATATTTTGTCGAAGTTTGCAATTTCTATTGTGGGTTTACTTACTTTCAGTGCTTCGGTTATGTTAAGTTAGTTTTTGTTATGGAGGGTATGGCTTAGGTTAGGCTACTCAAGGTGAGGTTAGTATAGGTTAGTATAGGGCGGGTTAAATTAAGTTAGGTTATCTTATGCTACGCTATGCCAGTTTGGGTTAGAGTTAGGTCAGGTCAGGTCAGGTTAGGTCAGGTTAGATCAGGTTAGGTCAGGATAGGACAGTTTATAATAGTTTAGGTTAGGTTAAGTTAGGCCAGTTTTGTTTAGAACAGGGTTGGGATAAGGTTAGGTAACTTCAAGTCAGGGGCGGATCCATAACTCCGTTTGGGGGGGGGGGGCGGAAAATTTGTGAGGATACTATTCTCTTATTTAGTTTGCACGGGGGGGTCCACCCATGTCAAATTGCCCTCCGAGAAGGGGGGAGCGGCCGCCACTGTCGCCCCCCCCCCCCCCTCCTTGGATCCACCCCTGGTTCAAGTTCGGTCAGATTAGAGCAATGTGGTGAGTTGGGTTAGTTGGTGTTGAGAAATGATAAACGAAAGCTCGTAAAGGACAGGACAAGGAAGAGAGACACATAGAGCACACAAGTGCTGACTCGCAACTGATGAGATGAAGAAAATGACGTTCATACATAACAAAAAAAAAAAGTGAAGGACAAAGCACAATGCATTCCCACCATGAATATTTACCGAAATATTAAGAAACTAAGAAAATAAGAAAATATTTGAAGGGCCCAAATGCAGTGCAGATCATAGGTGCAGCTAACACTTAGTCGTTCTTTTCATTAGTATCAGTTGCGCGTCAGCGCTTGCGTTTTCTGTGAGCCTCTCTTCTCCGGTTTTTGTGCGCGGTTTTTCATCATGTCACTATCTTTTACGGGACGGTCAGTTGAAACCAACTTGTGCTACTTCTAGCACTTCGCTGCGCCAATTGTTACGAACAGGTAAAAGCTATTTACTTTGATATGTCTAAATCATTCGACAGTGTTGATCATAACTCGAGCTATTGCTCCACACATTATCGTTATACGGTGACTGTTCTAAACTACTTTTGTGGTTTCAGAGATATTTGTCATGTCATGCAAATCATGATTGAATTTCCAGTGTCCATTCTAAACTATTTTACTCAACTTCAGGTGAACCCAAGGGGCCTAGTCTTGGGTATCTTCTGTTTCTAACATTTCTTAACGATAGAGCCTTGTGTGTCAAAAAAGTTGAGCTCTTACTGTGTGTGGGTGCCATTAAGACTTTTATGCGCGTTGCTACTAAACTTGATTGCAATGCTCATCAGCACAACGTGAATAACATACTGCCAGTACCGTACGAACTTGTTTTTGAATAAGAAGGCAAACCAGGCCGCCCCCCCGCTCCCTCCCCCCCCTTCCCCCCCCCCCCCCCCCCCAGGGCCGGGGGGTGGTGCCCTTGGTATCCCTTGGGCGCCGCCGGCCAGTGTTTGCCCTGCCCAGGGGCAGCTGTTTCAGGGGGGGGGGGGGGGACACATACATTGCACTCCCCACTCTGAGAACTGGAAAAGGGGGGGGGGGGGCAAGCGCCCCGCTTGCACCCCCCCCCCCCCCGGTTGGTATGCCCGTGCATACTGCAATAGTCTTTGGCGAATTATTTGCTCCTAAATCCTATCAAAACTAGGGTTCTTACTTTGAGCATACGGCACGCTGTTATGCATTTGACTTACTCTTTGGGAGGAACTCCAGTCGAACGCGTAACTATAATGAAATATCTCTGGTGTGGTGCCTTGTTAGCGCGTTGTCATTCAATGCTCATGCTTCTTTATGGTAGGCCGTGCGATTAAAACTCTTGGTATTATATATCATATAACTCAAATGTTTAGTCACCCTGCTTGTTTGATTCGCTTATTTCGGGCTATATTTCGTTCACGGCTTTCACGGCTTGAATTTGCCTCAGTGGTTCGAAATTATCTAAATCGGTGCAAAAATCATTGAGACGCATTATATGTGACAGTTACTTTCAGCGTCACTTTTATTATGATTTTGAACTTCTTTACAGTGTTTTACTTAGGCCTTTGTCAAATAGAACATATGAGCGTGATTTTGCACATGTTAATAAGTGGTTAGATTGATGCTAACCCACTTCTGAATACTGTCGATTTTCATGCTCCCCATTGCATTTCCATACATTTTACTGTAATTTGCGTTCAATCCATGTCTAAACTCTCGCCACTTTATGCAAATTGTAATTAATAGAATCGCATCCTCTAGCTTGGACATTACCATGGATACCTCAGTTTTTCGCCGGGACTTGGAGAGTCTAGTTGAAAGTTGAAACTGTAGTACATTTTGGGTGAAGTGTGCCCATTGTTTGTAGTCATGTTAATTTGTACATTTTATGTTGTACGTGTGTTGTTTCTTCTTTTACCTTCTTGTGTGCGCCAATGTGAAAACCGGCGTGGTTGTCTTTGGCCACTCAAAATAAGCAATATTATCATTAATATTATTATTCTTATTTTGGTCAGGTTTATTTTGTTACGTTATGTTACGTTATTTTAAGGCAGGTTAGATTTTGTAGGTGATGTTAGGTAAAGTCAGAGCCATCTATACTGGGAGAGTTTGGCATTCTTTTGAACATGCCGAGAGCCAAGCCATCACAACCGGAGATCTTGTAACCAAATGTTTCACGGGCTGAAGTTGAGCTAGTTGCAGTCATGGGTAAGTTACTTTTAAAAAGTAATTCGTTACAGTTACAGTTATTTTCAGAAAAAAGTAGCGAAGTTACCGTTACAGTTACCGCAACAAAAGAGTAACTCGTTACAGTTACAGTTACTTTCAAAAAGTAACGACGTTACTTTTCAGTTACTTTTCTATAACACAAAATTAAGGAAAAACTAGTGTATGAAAGAACAAAAAATATAGACACAAATCAGTCGGGCTTCCACCATAGCGGTAAATTCAAACTTAGTAATTTAGCTGGATTTAGTCACTATTATGAAAAGAATAAAGACCGAAATTCAGCTGGATGTGTTTTCTCAGATTTGAACACGAAGACTTGTTGTCGGAGTAGTCCTTGTTGCAAAGTTTCCATACTGCGGTCAAATAGCTAGCAACCACCTTCACCAAAGAAAAATACTCTCTGTACGCCGGCCATGCTAGTTCTTTGTTCTCATCAGCATCCCTATCCTTGGTAGCACTAGCACATTGCTGGCTCGTTGACGGTTGCGCTGGGTTCATGGAGCCCTTTGATATATTTCGGTTCGTACCCGGCAAACCAGAAACAAGCCCTGCGCAAACAGCAGTAAATTTTGCCTCCACCGTTGAAACCACACCAAAGTAGTGGCGCAAACCAAAATACGAAACATGCGCAGAGTGGAGCAGTGGCGCTAATCAAGATACCAAACATACGACGAAGTTTTCTCCGCGTGTATTGTCGTTTCACGGTTGATTCACCCAATTAAAAGCGTGCACAGAAAAAAGAAAAACCGCAACAGAGATATTGCTTCAATATACTAAGATTTAAGTGTTGAGTCACAAAGTGCAAACAAGTGCGTAAAGATAACTACATTCTTCTTTTTTTCATCAAATCTACAGGGGGCTATATTCGGATAGTGATTTGCGAGAAAGAACGTATTCTCAAGTTTGTGCAAGGCCAACTGACACTCGAAATGTCGGAACAGACAATTCGGAAAGTCCAAGTAATAGCTGGATTATACTCGTTCAATGATATATTCACAAAGAACTGAAAAGTAACGACAAAAGTAACGTCGTTACATTCATCGTTACCTCAGAAAAAGTAATAGAACTACAGTTACAAGTTATATTCTTAAAAAGTAACTCGTTACAGTTACAAGTTACCGAAAAAGTAACGAAGTTCCAGTAACGCGTTACTACCCAAGACTGGCTGGTTGGTACACAGATGCAAAATAAAGGCCGGCTAGAACGCTAGGGACAAAAAGAGAAAATACAGGAATGATAATAATAATAATAATAATAATAATAATAATAATAATAATAATGTTTATTTAATGTGCCCCAAAACAACCACGCGGGTCTTCACATTGGTGCACACAAAATAAAAAGAAGAAACACAACAAGCGCACAGCTTCAGATGTACAAATAAGCATGACTACAAACAGGTTGCACACTTGACACAAAATATAATACAGTTTCAACTTTCAACTAGACTTGCCAAGTTCCAGCGAAAAACTTTGAGATATGTGAAAATGTCGAAGCTAGAGGATGCTATTCTATTAAATGAAATTTGCATACGGCCGGGACAGTGGTGGGAGTGTAGACATGAATACAACGTAAAAGACAGTACAATTTCTGGTAATACGACAAGGAGCACAAAAATCGACAGAATTCAGAAGTAAGTTAGCATCAGTCCAACCATTTACCACCCTGTGAAAAAAAAAAACAACAAAAAAACAGATCACGCTCCAATTTCTTATTTGGTTATGATGTAGAAAACCCGAGACTGTGGTAAAAGCAGGGAAACTTGGTCCAAGAAGAAAGACAGGGGAAAAGAACGTCTCAAGAAGAAAGACAGGGGAAAAGAACGTCTTACTGAGACGTTCTTTTCCCCCGTCTTTCTTTTTCGACCAAGTGTCCCAGCTTTTACCACAGTCTCGGGTTTTCTACATCATGATCAACATCCACCAGCTCGCCTCTGCACTTACAGTTTTTTCATCTTCTATTTGACAGACATAAGTAAAACATGATTAAGAAGAAATTCATAATCATAATAAAAGCAACGCTGAAAGTGTCTATCGTATAAAATGCGTATCATTATTTTTTGCACTGATTCAATGCTTAAAGACTATGTACGTGTTAGAGAATTCTAAACAACAGAGGCAAAAACAAGCCGTGAACAAACTAAAGCACAAAATAAACGAATCATACAAACAGGGCGTCTGAACTTTTGAGGTATACGAGATATGATATCAAGAGTTTTCATCACGCAGCCAACAATAAAATAAACATGAGCATTGAATGACAACACGCTATCAAAGGCACACACCGAGATATTTCAGTACAGTCAGGCGTTCGATTGGAGTTATTCCCAAAGAGTAAGTAAAATGCACAACAGTGTGTCGTCTGCTCAAATAAAGAACCTTAGTTTTGGTAGGATTTAGGAGCAAATTATTCGCCACACAACCCTTGCACTATGGTATTCACTTCGTGCTGAAAAGCATTACAATAAAGAGGAGTAGCAACGGCGCACAAAAATCTTAAAACAAATGGTACGCCGACCAACACCTGCCCCCCCCCCCCCCCCCCCCTTCAGGAAATTCTTGCATCCGCCCCTGCACGAGGCTATATCCTTAGCAAATATCAGAAACAGAAGAGGCCCAAGAATAGACCCCTGGGGGACACCTGAAGTTGAGTAAAATAGTTTAGAAGGGATACTAGAAATTCGAACTCGATTCGTACGACATGACAAGTAGCTTTGAAACCAGCTAAGTAGTTCATAACAACAACCTTATCACGATAATTTGTGCAGCAATAGCTCATGATCAACTTTATTGAATGCTTTAGACATATCAAAATAAATAGCATCTACCTGTCCCCTGTTCGTAACAATTGTTGCAGCGAAACGTAAAAAGGTGCACAAGTTCGTTTCAACCGACCGTCGCGTAATGAAGTCGTGCTGCGAAGTCAATAATTTTTGATGAAAGAAATGAGTAATGAGCATACCCACCGCTGTACGTCTGCGGTATGTATGTCTGCTTTTTCTTTCTGTGTTTTTGTCCCTTACGTTCCAGCTGACCTTTTCTGCATATGTTTCCCCCGCCATATCGTGTTACTAATTAATGACACTCCCTCGATTAGCCAACCCTTTGGCTGGAGTAACGTGCGATCCAACGAAAATGGTATATCCGTAATGTAAGCGCCTTTGGCTTTTTCCACACAATCAATTGCTCTAACTGGCGCTCTGCAACTATCTCCAAAAATATTAACGTCTCTCATTTCCTTCTCTAGTCTAGATAATTACTTTACCCACCACAATATATTACCGTCTCTCATTCATCTTCTTTTAGAGCGCAGCTCTTAGGCGCCCGTTTCCGGCTTGAGCGACGTCGCCGTCGGCGTAACCGCGCGTTGCATGCAACCCCCGTTGCGTGCAACGCAAATGCAACACGCATGCAAAGCTTTCATGCAACATGTTGCATGCAAGCGGCGTAACCGCGCGTTGCATTATGGGCAGTTCCCATAATGACGTCACGAGGGTTACCCTCGTGAGGGTTACGAGGGTTACTCTCCCGAGAGTTACGAGGGTCATCGTCGCGAGAATTACCCTCACGAAGGTCACAAGCGTTACCCTCACGAGGGTTGCGAGGGTTAGTTACCCGCAAAAGGGTTACCCTCACGAGGGTCACGAGGGTTGCTCTCACAAGGGTCATGAGGGTTATGAGAGTTACCCTCACGAAACCCCTGCCTGAGGTCACGTGACCCCTCCCTGAGGTCACGTGACCTCAGGGAGTCAGCTATCCCTCAGTACCCTTCCATCCTCCTCCTCAAGAGCTGCGCTCTAATCCGGCGTTACAGGGAGTTGTAAACGGGTTTAATTTTTTCACAATTACTGCCAACCGCTATTTCGCATAAAATTGCGTCATTACCACAACTTAAACCTAAATCTTCCATTCGCGAAAACTAATACATTTCAAAATTGCTCGTTTGGAATTTTAGTCAGGCTAAATTCGGGGATATTTCTAAAGGCACACCTAAGTGTTTTTATTGGTCAAAATATTTTCAGTGTGATATACCTTTGTTACTTGTATTTTATATGACCTGTATAGCATGCTTCTTTTTTCTCATTAATTGACCTATTATTCGGGAACCATCACTGTTAATGCTTTGCACTATACCCCCTCCCCCCCCTCCACACACACACACACACTCATTTAACGCATCAGACTGAAGTGCCTTTGAGGGTTATTAAACTGAACTGAACCACCGCGAAATTCGTTTGCCATGCAGGAACTGCGAACCCGTGCTCTAAATTGACTGACCTTCTTTGATTGAGAAAGTATGTTTTTTATTTGAAAACAAACAGAAAAAAATCTTACTTGTAAGTTTTGTTATTGGAGATCAATAAAAAGGTTAGGTTAGGTTAGGTCACGCCCTAGTGTAGCAAAATTGCTAGACTTGGAAACCCCATTCAAGCAATGTATGAGCGACGGTAGAGCGCTCACTGATGGTGCGGTCGTGGAGGTCCAGCATGCAGCCAATGACATCCCCGATCTGCCACTGCTTCCCGTACACCTCGGAGCCGCCGGCGTGGTTCTTGGCAGCCTGCAGACGAATCACAGCCGATTCTCGGTATGGCCGATTCACACGACGGAGCGAATCGCCATTTCCGTCCGCGGATCCTGTACCACGTGACCGTCACGTCACTGATCCATGCGATTCGCGCCTCATCTGCGCACACGCGGACTGAAATGGCCGAGAGCCTTTTCACTCGCGCATTTTTGGCGGGTGATTGACTTGCAAAGCGTTTACTTTGGCGACGCTACAGCGTTTGCTATGTTTTTGTTTGTTTTTAGCCGAGCAATACAAAGATGGCGCATCATAGTATGATGTGCGTTCGGTGGTTTATTGTTCCCGCGTGGAACCAATTTTTGGTTCTGCGCGTGGAATGAGCTGCAGACACTTGGCCGTGCTGACGCGACGGAAATTCCGGTACTCCTCGGGGTCCCTGTCAAGCGTCTGGTCAAGGCTCGTCTATCACGCCATGACCCTTGCTGCACGTCCAATCAACTTTCCACACCGCGAGACCTTTCTTGTGGCTGTGGCGTACTGAAGCAGGGCCTCCTCTTTAAGTTACACTGGCCTTTCGGCTTCTCTCCAGGAGTTGTACAGGCCCAAAGCTCTAACTAACCCAGGACATGCACGGACGGGTTACTGCCACCTCCTAGCGGCTGTTTTTGTTTTGAACCGATAGCTTTAAGAAACTTGTGTCACAGAAAAGCCGGTGTTGGCGTCGGTGACGGTGACGGACGAAACAATCTTGATTCGTCGATAGGATCATGACGTCACAGCCACGTATATTCACGCGCGGGAATTCAAAACCTTCCGCAACGCTCACCTGGGACTCGACGTCAAGGGTATAATGAAAGAGATGAAAACATGACATGTGGTGCGATTTGAAGGTCGCTGCATGTCTCAGATGGTTTCACTTTATAAAGTAATTCATTTTCCTTAAATAAAAGAAATCCATAAACTGGCGCGGGTTCAAATCCCACAGAAGCTGGATTCGAACCCACGCCAGTTCGTGGAAATCCACGAACCCACGCCGGTTTGAATCCCGCAGAAGCGGGATTCAAACCAATGACCCTTCGGGTGTGAGCCAGACACACCACCAAGTTCAACTAGACCACGCAGACGTTTTTATGTAAATCTTCATTCCATAATGTGTTGCAAATACCGCAACACACTTTCAGTCACACTTCTATATAAGTCGAACATTTACTCCTAAACCTATTTATAAACACTTATCAAACACATTATATATGTGGCATATGTGCTCTATTCCTGGACAGCGCCACTTTTCCCGATGAACGCTGCGCACTGTGCGGAAAGGTGCTGGGGTTTCGACGATGCGCCCATTTTCGAGATGGTCTGGAAGCCACAGGAGCTTCATCTTCAGTTCCCATGTCTTTGGGTCAATCACGAGGCATTTCGTGCCTTTTACGAGCAGCTCACCACGCCAGCAAGTCTTTTTTTTTTTTTGGCGAGAGCATTTACTCAAATAACCATCCCCACATGACCCACCTCAAATTGTCCTGTGGGTATGATGTGTTTCAAGTTTATCACTTCTTTGAGAGCATCAAGGAAGTCTGGTGCCGTGTAAGCCCTTGCAGCCATGTCAGCATGTAGAAATGCAAAAATTAGGACGACATTATCGGTTCCTAACCTCACCTAATATAAGAGGCCACGTGGACACGATTGCACGGCTTGCGAAGGAGAGGGTTTTATATTTAGCTATCGCGTACCGGTCATAAAGGCGAAGCTTACACGTCCTTCTGTAATTTTTTATAGTTTTTTATTGTATATTTTCAATAATATTAAAAAATAAGATGTAAACATGGTTTTTAACAACCTGGGCAACGTTCCTCCAAATGTGGCAAACTTGTTTTTAAATGATTTCGGTGCGACATAATACCAAAATCAGATGTAATGTGACCAGGAGGCGGTGGTGCAGCGCGAACTGGCGCGCAGTTGAACACTGGCGTGAACGGCGTGAACGCTTGGTCGTCTGCTCTGTGCGTCGTGCATCGTCGATACTAATCTAGTTGATGATTCATGCTTCCGAAAAAAAACCCAGCTAAATGTAATGAGATACACTGAGAGAGAGAGAGAGGGAGATAAAAGTGAACAAACATACTGTTGGATTAAATTTCGTCTCACCTTAGCATGGATTATTGTTAGCCGCGCATGCTAAAAGCGCGAGCTACTTGCTTTGGATGAAGCCTCGGCGAGCGCTTGTGCAGCGAGTGCTCCAGTCGAGGCAGTGAAGGCTTGCCGGAGCGAAGCCGGTTTAGATTACGAGTCAACTCTTTTCGCGGCAGATTCATGTGACGGACGTAAACACCACGTTTCTTCGTTGATTTGTCTGCTGCAACGCTAGCACTAAAGCGCTTTCGACGCCTCACCAGGGACAGATGCCACCTTGTTTCCAAAGTCATTGACGTCACGTCAGCGTCGGGTTGTGATTCGATGCCGCTTCGTAGTTCGCGAAAGCGGTTAGGGCAAATCGGTCTCGAAGCGTTTGGCAAACGCAAACTCCAACCGCTCGATCTTAAAGGCCCGTTCACACTCTTGCGACTGAGTTAGACCAAAAGAGACCAGACCGGCTTTTAAGCCTCTTGCGACTTTTTAGGACCAGCTCCGCTGCATCGCATCCGGTCCTAAGAAGTCGCAAAAGGCTTAAAGGGACACTGACACCCCCCAAAAAATTTTTTTCATTTTTTGCCAGGCGCTTCATTATGGTGTCAGAGGACTACTCAATTAATATTTTGCAACAGAGTAGCATATTTTTTTAATAAAGCCAAAAGACGCAACTGCTCGAAACCGAAACCGAAACCTGCGCACGGAGGTCGGAGAAGTGGAGAGAAGAGAGTGAGTGGCGGAAGTCACGTGGCTACACCCGACCGTGCGTCTTTTTTTTTTCTCCTTTCCGTAGCAGACGACATGCAGCGTAGTGGGAACTGTTTGCCGCGCGATTCTTTTGCAGTTATGTTTGTTCCGCTCGCTGTTCTGTACTCCAAGATGAGTTGTTTTGTACATTGAGGAGTTGGAGATGAGTAGTGAGTGCTTGTGGTGAATTTCCATGATCGGTTCCGAAAAGAATACACCCAAGATGTTGCGTGAAGAGCTGGCTCATATGTCCTGCGTCCGAAAAAAGTGGCAATGTGCGACAGAGTTTCCGAAAGATCAACGGGATCGGGACCAATGGCTGGCTGCAATTCCTGTAGAACATTTACGGGCACCTCGGAAAGCGGACGCTACCTGATTTATATGCTTCTTGCATTTTGTGGAAAGTGATTACATTGAGTCCACAGGTGTCAAAAAGGAAATCCCATACCATTTAATTCAGGGACGTGTCGTCCACAACATTTGTTTGTTAATTTTGTTGGTTTCTTCAGTGATAATTGTAAAGAAAAAAAAAGAAGAAATGTAAACATCAAAAAATGTTAAAAAAAAAAAAAACCGTTTCGCTGGGGATTGAACCCGGTCCTACCACGTATGAATCGGATGTCTTTCCCTCTGAGTTACTGGGGCATCGCCTTCCTGGGTGATCTCTTTCCAACAACAACCAAGCCGGGAAACTGTAAGTTGGAAAGTTTGCTGCCGATTTTTCTCTAGCAAAAGCACTCTCGAGTCGAAATCAGGAAGCACCCCGCATTGGCGACATTCGCACCTAGTAAAGAAATCGTACGCGTGCATATTCTACTCGAAGTAGACATGTCGTGCTTCACGTTTGCGCGAGCGATGTCTTCAGCCACGAGAAGGGAGCGACGGCTCGGCGACGTCTTCGTGCCAATCGGCTTGGTGGTCGGGCATGTCGTACGGGATGAATACCAATTCTTTTGATCAGTCCCAAATTTCTCTTTTAAAGGCAGACAGAATTCGCCGGTACCGCGAACGACAGTTCTGAAATATAGGTCCCACGCCCGTCGTCCGCTGCAATCGCCGTCCCCGCGAGTCCCGCGATACGCGAAACGACGCACGCACAGAATGCTTCCGGTTGTCTGTGGAACTTTTTTTTTTTTTTCAATCAACGTATCTGCAGCTTTTTAGAAGCCACAAAAAATGGGTTTCATATTTTTTTCTATTTTTAATATTGAGTGTGTGCCTTCAGTGACCAACGACTTTGATCAAATTTTGTGGTTTTGTTTAAACCTTAGAAAACGGCCCGTGACCACGGAAAAGAGGGTGAGCGAGACTCGAACCGGCCAGTTCTTGATCGGCGGTTTTCGGGCGGAAAGAAACCGAATTTCGAGTCGCAAATTGTGCTCTGGGTAGTTGGGCTCTCATTTGTCATGTACAACTAAAAACCTCGGCGAGCATAAACACCCTGTCAGTGTCCCTTTAAGAAACCGGTCTGGTCCCTCTCGGTTGAAGTCGGTCGCAAGAGTGTGAACGGGCCTTAACCGCTCAATCCCAGCCGCTTTGCGGCTGAGAACGCGCGGATCCGCTTAGCGGTGACGGATCCGCTTCCAGGGTGAACGCGGCTTTAGATAACATTAAAGAGGGGTTACTATACATTTCTCGTCCAGCTTCACAATGATCTCAGCTTCAATAATTTCTCGCGTTAGCGGTTGAAAGTTCTTGTTGTGATCAGTGCACTTTTTTTAAAGTCTGCTGAGTATTCGCAGTCCCGGCAATGAATGCCTAGGTGTCCGGAATTTACTGTCCAAAATTTTATGCTCAGTATTTGGATTAAAAAATTTGTTAGTGACCCCTCTTTTGCGTTATATAAGAAAGAATAATTTCACCTCGCTACAAAAGAAGAAAAAAAAGACGAGGTGTGGTTTGATGTGCTCCCGCTTAGCAAAAGACGAAATGCACCCGAGTTGATAGTCAGGGCTGAGTGAGCGATTCAATTTTACTGCTGGGTGTGTTTGAGTGTGAATGGTTCTTTTAGACTGTTTTTACAGATATTATGAATAACCAAATCGCCGAATCCCCCTTCTTAAGAAGTTTTAACAAAATGCAGCACACAAGCAACGCTCTTCGCTTGAAAAGACGGCTAACCGTAGACCACATCCCGTGGCAAAAGACCAGACTGACAGGGGCCGGCAACAATTGTCCTAGCTTGATGGACTTTCTCAAAGCTGTCCCACAAAATTACTCATGTGTCGCACCTTGAAGCCATCGAATGCCCATGAGTTGTCGTCTCCCCCAAGTTCGCAGGAAGGCAGGAAGTTGGGGCCAGCCCAGCCAACCTTCATGACACCGAGGGTGAGCACTTCGAACTCAAAATACCTGCAAAGGAGAAAATTGTATGCACGTGTGAACAGAGAAGAGGTCATTCAACACGAATCGTTCAGAAATATTTTCACAATTACTTTTAGCTATAAGAGATATAGCGTTTATAAAAAAAAGTATTTTGAAAACGTATACATTTTAGAGTGATCCGAAATCGCGCTCAGCTATTCTAACAAAGCACCTCGCCTCTATTTTACATGTAGGCAAGCGTAATCAAGAATCATTATATTACTTTTTTTGCATGAAAACTATTGGCAGTTACTGCAGATGGACTGATTTTTCGACACACATAGTAAACACATACAATATGAATTTTATTATGTCTCAAATTTCTACAGAAATTCACGAGTGCCAACGGAGTGCATTTGAGCCATTTGGTGTGTCTTAATTCGTTTGTAAAATATCAACTGCTATATTTCTTACTTTAAATTTTTGCTGGGAAGCAGGCTGCACACTTATAACTTGCATGAACAAAGCCACAATTGTGTTCATAGAAAAGGTGTGCTAAGTGGAATCCAGTGTGAAGCAAGGATAAACCCCAATGCATATTCGTGTACTGAATGGAATATAGGGAGTAAAGGCTACCAGTCGTACAAATGCGGAACTGCAACGAGTTTCTTCTAATAATATTGTGACAGGCCCTATGAACGAAACAGAAGAATTAAGCTTCGTTGGTCTTCCAAAACCGATACAGAATATTTCCGAATAATAATATGTGGTAGCAACCATAAGCATTTCGTTAAATAGGCTAAATAAAGTGAATGACAATAACTAGGCGAAAGAGACCACCCGCTCAAACGGAAATAGCTTCCAAATCCAAATCCTCATTCCGAAACGGCTCACCATTTCCCGTCAGTCACTGCGTAGGTTCTCTCCGCCCGATAGGTTCGCTGGTCGTACTTCACGGACGAGACCTTGCTCTGCGCCCCTGGAACGAGGTGAAATCACCCATGATCACTCTCTGCCCTGAATTCACAATGGGGGCGACAAACGTTTAAGACACGGTGACCATAAGGTACTGCTAGCAATTGGCTGGTAATCGACCTTTGTTGTATTTTATCGACATCGGCTTTCAAAGTCGAAAATTGCTGGTGGAACTGTGTTTCCTCTAGATACTCGGAAGTGAAGAGTTGAAGGGTTTAGGAAACGGCATATATACGAAATAACTGCACTGCTAAGTCCCATTTTATGCTCCTATCTTTTTTCTAAACTTGTTTTGTGAATGGCGCGATAGTTTTTTGGGTAAATAACTTTATTTGCAGGTCCCTCAGATCCACCCCAATCGGAAAAGCCGCAATGTTTGGTGAAGCTGTCACGTGCATCGCCCACCGTCGCTGTCCGCGTTCCTCTGCACGTGCTCGCCAGCTTGGCTCTCTCATCGCCTCGCGCTTCAGCTTCCTCGTTTACCTTCCACCTTTTAGAGCGCAGCTCTTAGACGCCCGTTTTCAGCTTGAGCGGCGTCGGTGTCGGCGTCGGCGTAGGCATCGGCGTGGGCGTAGGCGTAACCGCGCGTTGCGTTATGGGACGTTTTTTCATAATGACGTCACACGTGACGTGTGAGTCACGAGGGTCACGACTGACGTCACTCGTGACGTCACCGCGCGTTGCACTATGAGTAAATTTCCAAGCATAATTTAGCGGGAAAATTTCCCCGCTAAATTTATGGGAAAAAAGTCCGACTAACGTTAGCGGAAGAATTTTCCCGCTAAATTTAGCGAAAACATTTTCCCGCTAAGTTTAGGCAAAAAGACTCCCCGCTATCTTTACCGCAAAACATTCCCTGCTAAATTTAGCGGAAAAATCTCCCCGCTATATTTAGGGGAAATATTTCCCCGCTAAATTTATCGGAAACCATTCCCCGCTAAATTTAGCGAAAAATTTCCCCGCTAAGTTAAGTGAAAAAATCCCACGTTAAATTTAGCGGGAAAAAATTCCCCACTAAATTTAGCGGAAAAATCTCCCCACTAAATTCAGCGGAAAATGTTTCCAGCTAAATTTAGCGGGGACTTGTTTCCGCTAAATTTAACGGAAAATTGAGCGAAAATTACCCGCTCAATGGGAGATGAGCAGGAGAGGAGGGTACGGATGAGGAGGAGGGGCATACCCTCCTCTGTGCCTTCCTCTCTTCCTCCTCCTCAAGAGCTGTGCTCAGATTCGGCGTTACAAGGGATTGTAAATGGGCTTTTTTTTCTGTTTAAATAATATTATTACCTTTATTGTTTCAATGAGCATAATTCATCAATCGGATCCGTCAAAGCCGAAATGGCTTGAGTGATGGGGCCCGGGAATCCACGCTATGCTTTGTGAATTGCCTTTCCTTTTTCACGATCGAAATAACCATTTGTAAATTGAATAGAAAAATACAATATACCAAAATCATAAACTCGCGATAATTTATCAACAAAATATATGTACGCCGAAGGCACTTTCCTTCAAAAATATATTTCTTGCACATTGAAACTATGATCTTAAAAACAGCGAAAATAGAATAAATGTTCAGTTAATACTAGAGAACTACAAAAATGAAAAAAATTGATTTATTCATTGAAATTTGTTCAGCAAACATTGCCCTCTATTCCTAAAGGGGCACAGACAGGGTATTTATGCTCGCCGAGGTTTTTAGTTGTACGTGACATATGAGAGCTCAACTACCCAGAACAGAATTTGCGGCTCGAAATTCGGTTTCTTTCCGCCCGAAAACCGCCGATCAAGAACTGGCCGGTTTGAGTCTCGCTCACTCTCTTTTTCGCGGTCACGGGCCGTTTTCTAAGGTATCGATGCGACCACCAAATTTAATCAAAGTCGTGGGTCACTGAAGGCACACACTCAATATTAAAAAAAGAAAAAAATATGAAACCCATTTTTTGTGGCTTCTAAAAAGCTGTAAATACGTTGATTGAAAACAAAAGTTCCACAGACAACCGGGAGCATTCTGTGCGTTCGTCGTTTCGCGAATCTTGGGGGTCGCGGGAACGGCGATGGCAGTGGACGACGGGCATGGAACTCTATTTCAGAACTGTCGCTGGCGGTACCGGCAAATTCTGTCTACTTTTAAAAGAGAAATTTGGGATTGATCAAAAGAATTGGTATTCATCCCGTACGACACGCCCGACCACCAAGCCGATTTGCACGAAGACGTCGCCGAGCCGTCGCTCCCTTCTCGTGGCTGAAGACATCGCTCGCGCAAACGTCAAGCACGACGTGTCTACTTCAAGTTGAATATGCACGCGTACGATTTCTTTACTAGGTGCGAATGTCGCCAATGCGGGGTGCTTCCCGACTTCGACCCGGGAGTGCTTTTGCTAGAGGAAAATCGGCAGCAAACTTTCCAACTTAGTTTACCGGCTGAATTATTACTAAGGAAAGAGATCCACCAGTTAAGAGAGGCCCCAGTAGCTATACCGGCACCTACTAGAAAGTGTTTTTCCTGTACCTGTTTATCGTTCACTATATGAAAACGGACCTGGAAATGATGTGTTATGCCGAGTTAAGAAGATGAGAATACCTCCAACCGAAATCTTTTTTCTTTCGCCTACATTCTCGAACGCCGCCGGTAAAAACCTGCCTTTGGGAAAGAGGTTTGCCTTTTCCTTGGGGCGTTAACTGCCCACTATGTAAAGTCCCGGAGTCAGTAGAGCACTCCTTTTTGTACTGCTGGGACGCAGTTTTTCTATGGGATGTTCTCAAGAGGACTTTGAAGAAAGAATTAGTCATAACATCCTATAATATACGTTTTCTGGCTGTTGAACGTGAAGATAATGTTCCCTATGACCTTTTTATGCTGCTAGCAATATTCAGTCTGGAAATCTCGCATGTCGGTTAGACATGCCGAGCACTCACCAAGAGGGGCAAGAGCATTTTTGATTGGACTGGTAACGCAGGAGAAGAGTGTCTATGAATACAGTGAGAGTTTGCCGGAATGGGCAAACCTATTTGATGATGTGATGAGAATGAAAGAATTTTAATTGTACGGCTGCCTACAAGTGCTGAGTAGTCGTTTTTATTGTGTTAAAACGCTGAATAAAGAGAGAGAGAGAGAGAGAAAAGAAAAAGGGGGGAAAAAAAAAAAAAGCTCCAGCAGCTTAGGGGCAAAGACGTCCGCTTCATACGCAGTAGGATCGGGTTCGATCCCCCGTGAAACCTGTTTATTTTTTTTTATTTTTTTGTTTCAGACATTTTTTGATGTTAACATATCTTTTTTTTTTGTCACAATTATCACTGAAGAAACCAACAAAAAAATAACAAACAAATATTGAGGACGACACTTCGCTGAATTAAATGGTATGGGATTTCCTTTTTGACACCTGCGAACTCAATGTAATCACTTTCCACAAAATGCAAGTAGCATATAAATCAGGTAGCGTCCGCTTTCCGAGGTGCCCGTAGATGTTCTACAGGAATTGCAGCCAGCCATTGGTCCCGATCCCGTTGATCTTTCGGAAACTCTGTCGCAGAATGCCCCTTTTTTTTTCGGACGCAGGACATGTGAGCCAGCTCTTCACGCAACATCTTGGGTGTATTCTTTTCGGAGCCGATCATGGAAATTCACCACGGTCACTCGCTACTCATCTCCAACTCCTCAATGTACAAAACAACTCACCTTGGAGTACAGAACAACGAGCGGAACAAACATAACTGCAAAAGAATCACACGGCGAACAGTTCCCGTACGCCGCATGTCGTGTCGTCTGCTACGGAGAGGAAAAAAAAAAAAACGCACGGTCGGATGTAGCCACGTGACTTCCTCCACTCACTCTCTTCTCTCCACTTCTCCGATCTCCGTCGGGTTTCGGTTTCGAGCAGTTGCGTCTTTTGGCTTTATTAAAAAAAATACGCTACTCTGCTGCAAAATATTAATTGGGTAGTCCTCCGACACCAACATGAAGCGCCTGGCAAAAAATTAAAAAAAAAACATTTTGGGGGGTGTCAGTGTCCCTTTAAAGCCCTTTATAGCCGTAGGGTACTTTTCATCTAAATCATAAAAAAAAAAATGAATGCCTGCGGTTTTGAGCGGTGAGTCGGTGACGTCCTAGGCAACTTTGGCTTCGCCGGAGTCTCTTGACATTCACAGCAGCGATGAGAGCAATTTCTGTGAAAAGATATTGGAAGCTGGTCATCTTGACTTGGACCCACTTGCGACGAGCTCCAGCGGCGACAACGAGACTCGAGATCGTCACAGACAAACTCGGCATCGTCCGCGACGATCTTGCACATAAAGGCTGTCAAATGGTCCACACACAAAACCATCGCGCGTCACATAACTTTTCCGTGCTTCCGAGCGCGTACAGTTCTCCGGAACAGGAACAAGTATATATTAACTGGTGAGTGTTTCTCCCGTACATTTCGACATCCCACTGCACAGCAGATTTTGCGCGATATTTCGAACTGCTTCCGAGTTTGAAGCTACGTAAGCATTTTCTTTACACCCTGCGCCTGTGATCGGGAGAAAACCGGCGAGCCGAGGCTGAAGGACCGAGGGTAGCCTAGCGAGGAAGCCGGACACATGTGAACGCCGTGAGGAAGGTAAGAGCGCAAGGGTGCGAGAGCGAGAGTAGCGTTGGAGTAGGCGAGTAGCGTGGGAAGGTACTATCGAACAAGCTTCAGGGTCCTTGGAGGCATGGGTGAGCCTAGATTGAGAGAGCGTTCACTAAACAATCACGATCACGTGATTTTTGGACACCATGATGTGGCTCGAGTTCGTTTGACACGAAGTGCCGGCCGGGACGAACCCGCTCCGCGCTGCGAGTGGGCACGAGTGCAGTGAAGCGAACTCCCGATTACTTGGGCAGTGTTGCCTGGTCACCAAATGACAATGATAGACATTCGTAAGTTGATTTTTACATTTACTAGACCACTAACAGTCGCAAAACTTTGTGCATATACTAACTAACCTTAGTGCAGTCACTTTCAAAACAAATCTACCCATTTA